CGTGGATGTGGTTTACTTTAAGAGTTTCGGAAGCCGGGAGGCGGGGTTTAGGGATCATGTGACCGCTGTGACGCGTCGTCACGGCGGTCACATGATCGGGAAAGGTCCCGATCGAAAGAGAAGACCGGGACCTTTCCATGAGTACCGGACATGTGTGCTGGGAGCGCGCAGGGCGCACGCTCTCAGCACGTTTTTTTTAATTTAACGCAAATGTGTGGCCGCTCGGCGTCTAGGCCCACACACCAGGAGGCCGCACATTTGTGTGTGGCCGGCGTGAAGAGGTTAATAATGGCATGCAATGCCAAGCTGTGGTTTCTAAAGCGAGCAAAATCCTCTCTTGTATTAAGAGGTATAGACTCCAGAGAGAGATATCATTCCCCCCCCCGGTGCAAATCATTAGTAATACCTCATCTGGAATATGCGGTTCAGTTTTGGGCACCAATTCACAAAAAAGAACATTGGGGAACTGGAGAAAGTACAGAGAAGGGGAACCAAACTGATAAGAGGCATGGAGGAGATCAGCTATGAGGAAAGATTAGAGGAACTGAATGTATTCTCTACTGAGAAGAGGAGATTAAGGGGGGAAATGATCTCCACGTATAATACATAAGGGGGGATATGATCTCCATGTATAATACATAAGGGGGGATATGATCACCATGTATAATACATAAGGGGGGGATATGATCTCCATGTATAATACATAAGGGGGGATATGATCTCCATGTATAATACATAAGGGGGGATATGATCTCCATGTATAATACATAAGGGGGGATATGATCACCATGTATAATACATAAGGGGGGATATGATCACCATGTATAATACATAAGGGGGGATATGATCACCATGTATAATACATAAGGGGGGATATGATCTCCATGTATAATACATAAGGGGGGATATGATCACCATGTATAATACATAAGGGGGGATATGATCTCCATGTATAATACATAAGGGGGGATATGATCTCCATGTATAATACATAAGGGGGGGATATGATCTCCATGTATAAATACATCAGTGGTTCATATAGTGAACTCGGTGTAGAGTTATTCCCCCTGAGGTCATCACAGAGGACAAGGGGGCACTCTTTGCGTCTGGAGGAAAAGAAATGTAATCTCCAAACACGGAAAGGTTTCTTCACAGTGAGAGCTGTGAAAATGTGGATTAGACTCCCTCCAGAGTTGGTTCCGGCCAGCTCAGTGGATTGCTGTAGGAAAGTCCTGGATTGTTTCTTGAATACACAGAATATAACTGGATATAACATTTATAGGGAAAGTTGATCCAGGGAATATCTGATTGCCTCTCGGGGGGATCAGGAAGAAATTTTTTTCCCTGCAGGAGCAAATTGGATCATGCTTTTGCTGGGTTTTTTTCCTTCCTCTGGATCAACTGTGGGTGTAGGATTATAACTTTTTTTTTTTTTTTTTTTAATGGTTGAACTGGATGGACTTTTGTGTCTTTTCAGCCAGACTAACTATGTAATTATGTAACCAGTGTTTTGTTGGGAACAGTAATGTGCTAAATATGCAATGACGGTTTTATCTTGTCATACACAAATATCATTGCCTGTTGTAAAGGGATTTGCACTTTTATGGCTTTCTCAGATCCCCGACCTTATCAGATATAAAATCACTTCCTAAGTTGTACAAACATTTCACTTTCCCAGATAAACTTCACAGGCTTATGATCAAACATCACTAGACTTTGTAAACCTGAAACCATATTGGCAGTCTGTGGTTAATGCTCCTTGACGCTGGTGGTCAGTGATAAAGTGCTCCCTGACAAAGGAGATCAGCGATAAAGTGCTCCTTGACACAAAGGGTCAGCGGTAAATTGCTCCTTGACACTGGTGGTCAGTGTAAAGTGCTCCCTGACACTGGAGGTCAGCTGTAAGGTGCTCCTTGACACTTGGTGGTCAGTGATAAACTGTTCCCTGATATTGGAGATCAGTGGAAAAATGAGCTCCTGATACTGAAGTCAGTGGTAAAGTGCTCCTGATACTGGAAGTCAGTGGTAAAGTGCTCCCTGATACTGGAGGTCAGTGGCAAAGTGCTCCCTGATACTGGAAGTCAGTGGTAAAGTGCTCCCTGATACTGGAAGTCAGTGGTAAAGTGCTCCCTGATACTGGAAGTCAGTGGCAAAGTGCTCCCTGATACTGGAAGTCAGTGGCAAAGTGCTCCCTGATACTGGAGGTCAGTGGCAAAGTGCTCCCTGATACTGGAGGTCAGTGGCAAAGTGCTCCCTGATACTGGAGGTCAGTGGCAAAGTGCTCCCTGATACTGGAGGTCAGTGGCAAAGTGCTCCCTGATACTGGAGGTCAGTGGCAAAGTGCTCCCTGATACTGGAGGTCAGTGGCAAAGTGCTCCCTGATACTGGAGGTCAGCTGTAAGGTGCTCCTTGATACTGGAGGTCAGTGGTAAAGTGCTCCCTCACACTGGCGGTCAGTGACATGAAGAATAAATTCTTGGTGTCACTGGTTACTTACCTTATCCTTTAGTCCTGCCATGTAAGCCCAAGCATTGCTCCACAGCCTGGGTCGATTAATTTGCCAGCCAACAGTAATTATATAGTTCCAATGCATTGTCGGTATACGCAGCTGACAGATTTCCATCAAAATCATTGTATGCCGCTATGTTGTTGACGACACTATCTACTTTATATGTGGTAGCCTTACAGGTAAGGTCGTTATATATACTGTACTTTTGAATGGTTGCAGACAGAGGCATAGATTTACTAAAACTGGAGCACTCAGAATCTGGTGCAGCTGTTCAATTAAGCTTTGACAATAAAAGCTGGAAGCTGATTGGTTTCAATGCAGAGCTGCACCAGATTTTGCACTCTCCAGTTTTAGTATATAATCCCCAGTGCGTTGGTGGAATACGGTCAATTGTGCCAGGTAGATTTGTGCCCCTTGGCTGCTAAGGGGCTAAATTACAATGCCTTGAAAAAGTATTCATACCCCTTGAAATTTTCCACTCAGTGGGGCTGAATACAAACACTTTCAGATATTTATTTGTAAAAAATTTTGAAAACCATTTATCATTTCCCTTCCACTTCACAATTATGGCCACTTTGTGTTGGTCTATCACATAAAATACATTTACATTTTTAGTTGTAACATGAGAAAATGTGGAAAATTTCAAGGGGTATGAATACTTTTACAAGACATTGTAATTTGGGTACAGTGTTGCATGACTGAGTAACTGTCAATCAAACTATCACATCATTCAAACCATGAAAAACGGCCTGGTAATGAAGGCGTATATACAGTGAAGGAAATAAGTATTTGATTCCCTTCTGATTTTGAATGTTTGCTCACACACAAAGAAATGATCAGTCTAAAAATGGAATGTTCGGTGTATTGTAACACTGAGAGACAGAATAGCAACAAAAAATTAAAAAGAAATGCATGTCTAATAAATGATGACTGATTTGCATGTTCATGAGGGAAATAAGTATTCGATCCCCTATCATTCAGCAGGATTTCTGGCTACCAGGTGTCTTTCATACAGGTAACAAGCTGAGATTAGAAGCAGTCTCTTAAAGGGAGTGCTGCTAATCTCATTTTGTTACATGTATAAAAGACACCTGTCCACAGGAGCAATCAAACAATCAGATTCCAAACTCTCCACCATGGCAAAGACCAAAGAACTCTCCAAGGATGTCAGGGACAAGATTGTAGACCTACACAAGGCTGGACTGGGCTACCAAACTATCTCCAAGCAGCTTGGTGAGAAGGTGACAACAGTTGGTGCAATCATTCACAAATGGAAGAAAGACAAAACAACTGTCAGTCTCCCTAGGTCTGGTGCACCATGCAAGATCTCACCTCGTGGAGTGTCGATGATCATAAGAATCAGCAGGGGATCAAATACTTATTCCCTTCACTGTACATGCTGGTCCAGGAAGGTCAATGACATGATCTTCTGTGCAATCCAGTGTAATATTCTGTGTTACATAAAGAATAAGAAAAGAGTGCGCTAATTATTCACAAAAAATGCAAGGATAAATAATAGAAATAACAAAGTCCATAAATATAAACATAAATCCAGTCACCATAAACCGTGATAATCTGATATCAACTTAATGTCAATCTTGAAAACAAACACTCATGTGCAAATCCGACACCAGATGAAATGAATGCACTCACCAGAGCTATATGCTGATTATATTGTAAACAGCATGATAGCATTTTGCTCTGGGAGCGATGATCTGCAGGATATCCCAGTAGAGGAACAGCAACCAATAGTGATCCAATCAGCACATATGGAACAGCTAAGCAGCAAATGGCCTTCCAATAACATGGGCAAAGCTGGAGGAATCGGAAGAGATATGATGGTGCAGTACGTTTAAAACCAGTAAAATTTTATTAGTAAAGTATAACACTCACAAAGAAGGTGTCTAGCCGACACCAGCAATGACAGCCTCTATAATAACACATCCACGAGGGAAAAAACCAAGGGACGAACCTCCTGCACCGCGATCTCACAGCCGACAGCTAGAAGGAATGTCCCGACCTCACATCCACTAGGCCACATCCAACGCGTTTCGTCACTTGACGTCATCGCTCCCAGAGCAAAAATGCTATCATGCTGGTTTATAATTTAATCAGCATATAGCTCTGGTGAGTGTATTAATTTCATCTGGTGCCGGATTTGCACATGGGTGTTTGTTTCAAGATTGACATTAAGTTGATATCGGATTATCACTGTTTATGGTGGCTGGACTTATGTTTATATTTATGGACTTTATTTGTTCTATTATTTATCCTTGCATTTTTGTGAATAATTAGCGCACTCTTTATTTATACACAATTTCGCCTTTTTTGGTTAGAGGTGCTGCTTATTTTATTTTATCTTGTATTTTCTGTGGCGCTTCTTATATTTGTTACAAAGAATAAGATAAATCTAGAAATAAATGTAGATATACAAATTCATTTTAATGTTTTTTTTCCATGATGTTACCAAATCTACTTGTCAAGGTATAAATTACAGCTGACTTGCTAGAGTTGCTCCGATGAGATCATATAAAGCGTTCACCTGTAAGAAAGAAAGAGAGATACCCTCATTATAGGCCGACGGACTGAATTATGGGATAGCCGGGAGATTAATCCAAAGGACTGATGGAACAAAGAGTGACGTCTGCCATAAAACAGCACTTAGAAGCTCGGAGTCCCATTTTACAGGGGAATTTGGAAAAAGGAAGAGGATAAAGGGCCTATAAATGCTGAAAAATGTGCAGAAAACACACAAAAAAATGGAATGGATTACAATGCAAGGAATTTATGAGCGTCTGTGTGTTTAAACAAACCCTTGTTGGCTTACTGGATACATTCAACCTTGTCATTACTTTCACAGAACAGATATAACTGTGGATCAGTGTGGATCTCTTCTGGGGCAGATGACATAGTTACATAGTTGGTCTGGCTGAAAAAAGACAAAAGTCCATCCAGTTCAACCATAGACATCTAATGCTCACCATACATGCTGCAATTTATAATTGATTCAATTATAAATGGTCGCAATAGAGCAATTTCTAACGAGATATGGTCATGTTTGGATGCTCTTCTGAAACCACATGGCTGAGCCCACCATGATACTGTCACCTGTAATGGACCGACTATCTGTAGCGGGGACGTTCCCTGTCCTGCAGCCAGATATATACAAAGGGCCATGATTGGCCCATTACAGGTACCAGCCTCCTGGCGGGCTTGGCCATATGCACTCAGAAGTGCATCCAAACATGCCCAAGTTCATCTCTATTCCTAATCAATTGAATAATCAAACTTCTCAACGCACAGATACCTCCTGATTTATCTTCAATGCCAACTAAAAAAATTGATCAATATATTTCATTGCATAATCAGTATCTAGACTTGGTTCTTTGACGTTTAGCACAGACTACATACAATCAGTAAGAACCAGGGGCGGACTGACAACTCATGGGGCCCCTGGGCAATAGAGGATCATGGGGCCCCTGTGTCCTTGCCCAAACTCAAAAAAGCCTATGAAAAAGGTACCAGGGGCATCTCATGGGGCCCCCTACTGACCCAGGGCCCTCGGGCAGTGCCCGAGTTTCCAAATGGTCAGTCCGCCCCTGGTAAGAACTGAGCAATACTTTTCTGATCAAGCCAGAAGACATGTCTCAGTCAAAACAAACATTTCTTTTTTCCAAAATGTGTCCCATTGGGGAGAACTACCTTCGCCTTCCGTTTTGTTAGATGCAACAGAAAGTAAGAGAAGATCTCAGCAAAGTGAGGGAAATCCCCTCTTAAGCCGAGCAGAATCTCATCTGGTTCAGCAGGGACTGGCCGAGATTCAATCCATCTATGGGCAAGCTGGATGTACCCAAATCGATCCATCAATCAACTTGGGTACAGCCAGCATGTCAAATTTTTACATGCGATTATTGCCAGCGGCTATAGCTGTTCTTCCGACAGGGATGGCTCTTTGCAACCCCCCCACCAGGAGAACACAACAGCTCCGCATGTGGGATTCCCCCATCAACACAGACAATCAAGCAATTTTCTTTCCTGCGACCAGTAATTGAAGGAAAGTAAACTGCATCATCTATGGCTGGCTTTGGGCAGTTCTCACCAGTATCCCCATTGGAAGACTTCCCCTGTATTTGGTTACCAGGACCAATAGAGAGGGAAAATATCCCTTGCAGGGGCTTAGACATCAATACAAACCTGACATAGGTTCTAAGACCTCTTTATTAAGTCCAAAACTAAAAAAAACAAAGTTTAACCCCTTGGCGCCGGCGCCTCCTGGCACTTTAAGGGTTTCAGAAGCCGGGAGGCGGGAAGGGTTTTAGGATCATGTGACCGCCGTGATTCGCTGTCACAACGGTCACATGATCGGGAAAGGTCCCGATCACAAGAGGAGATCAGGACATGCGTGCTGGGAGCGCGCTCTCAGCAAGTTTTTTTTAATTGCGCGCAATTGTGCGACCGCTCGGCGTCATTTGCGTGCGCTTGGCGTGAAGAGGTTAAAAGGTTAAAGATATACTTTAAAGCTGAAATGCAGACAAATACCTAAATATACAGTGAATATGATGCATGCGTCTGTTATATCTGGGCTTACTATTTATTCCCTAAAAGCACAATTTTCATATATATTCACCGTGCCGCGAGTCTGCCCTGCTGCATTGTAAGCACAGGAGGTGGCTTGCTTGGCACAGGCACCAATCAGAAGACACTTTCCATTGTTGTCAATTAATACAAAGTGTTTTTGATTGGATGAGGTGGAGAGACAGGCTAGTGATGTTACAATCACTACCTTATCCAAAGAATGTTTTGCATTTAGAAAATGCAAGTGTTCTCTAAATGGCACCCATGCTGAGTTATCACTAGAACTAATACCCCAACTGGAAGACTTCCCCTCTATACCTGTTCCAGTGACAACTATAAAACTTCAGCTATTCTATCACTTTCTGTCTCAGTGACAGTAGTCACCAGGACAAACAAAAAGGGCAAATCTCCCTTGCAGGGACACAGACAGTAATAGAAACCTACCAGCGACTGACTCTAAAAGTAAAACTATAATAGAATAAAAAAAATATTAAATACCATCAATGGAAAAAAACCTGACCTGTGATGCATCCGAACTTGAGACATTTCTCAGCGTGTACACACTAACTTGTCCATCGCTGTCTCCTATCAGGACGCAGTTTGTGTTCTTAGCGAAGAGCAGTGTCGTGAGTCTCACTCCAGGTTTGGCAGAACTCACAATGATCGGGTCTAGTCTGTACAAGACAAAAAGCTGAAAGTTGAAGCACAATAATAACAAATGTAGAAATATAGACTCTTAAAGTGAACAGTAAAAATAATGGTGTATAAAGCCGCCTTCTCAGTGCTTAAATCTGGCCAAAGACGGTTCGAATCTCGGCCAGCTTCAGCGGGAACCGGCCAAGATTCAAACCATAGGGAGGTGCCCTAAATCCTGTGACGTCACACCGCACGGCCCTCATGGATGGCTGGCGGCCATTTTGATTTCTCCTTGCCAGCCTTTCAAATACTGCATGTAAGTTTTATGCTTGTACATTATACCCCCGTGGTTTCCATTAAAGTACTACACTATCAGATTCTTCTGTGTTCTGGCTCCTTACTCCCGAGCCCCTCCCCCTTTCCAAGGCATATAAGGATGACCTGGTGGCCACTGCATAGATAGTGAGACAGGCTCCTCCTGCTGGTGAAAGGATTGCTTTCCCCCTGGTACCTGGAGACCCTGAGGGTGCGATACTTGCTTAGCTGACGCAGGCCAGACGACCCCCGCTGAGATCCAGTTTCCATATGTGGATGACCAGGAGTTGGTTATTACTCAAACGCGCAATAAATTGCGCTTTCCGGTTAGTGCAATCTACACTCATCTCCTTATGATGAACATGGTCACAGAAGTCACCAATTTTTTCACCACTTTGCCTTGAAAGCTTTCACTGTGCACTGCAGAACACTAATTTTGGATATATTTATTCATCATTATAGATCATATCTTTGGACGCTAACTATATTTTATCATCTTTTATATATATAATCAAGCAATGATTAGGATATTATTGTTTTGACTATCGCATTTTAGATCACGTTTCATTTTTAGAATACTATTAGCGCTGCATGTTTTATTTATATATTTACTATGGAGGCTTCTGGTGTTCGCCTTTCATGCTAGTCGCTCTTTTTGGTTTTTATCCAGCGCTCATATTTTTTCTGTTTTTTACTAAGATTCAAACCATGTATGGGCAGGTTGAATGTCCCCAAGTGGCCGAGCAATCAACTTGGGTACAACAAGCCTGTCAGATATTACATGGATTGTCGCTAGCGGCTGTTATAGCCATTAGCAATAATCACGGTCTTCTCCCAGCAAAGACAGCTTCCTCTGCACCCCTGCCAGAAGAACACAATGGCTGGATGCAGGAAAGAAATTCATACCGTCTATGACCTGCCTAAGATTGAAGAACGAGTAGCAAAAAGGTGTCTATTAAGGATTTAGAGTGACTGCCAACCCAATCAGCTGCAACGGTGGAATTCCTTGACCTGCAGCCACTTGTAACAAAGGTCCAAGGATGCAGGTGACGTCATTGACCGAATATATCCTCACAATGACTTTGTCCAAATATAACCATGAGGCAAGAGCTGGGACAAGGACTGGGCGTGTTGGGGATTTGGGGGGACAATTTGGAGGAGATGTGTGCTAGGAGGTTGGATTTCTGTTAGAAAGGCAGATAGGGTGGTGGGGGGGGGTGGAGATATGTGCTAGTAGAGATGATTGTAGGGATTTGTGCTGGGAGGGGAAATTTGATGTATGTGGGGTGGGGGGGGGGATTAGTGCTAGGATAAGGGATTTAGGAGGGATTTGTGCTGGGAGAGGTGGATTTGGAGGGAGGGAGAGGATTCATGCTCGGAGAGGAAATTTGAGGAACAGAGGATTTGTGCCAGGAGGGGGGATTTGGGGAAGGAAGGGATTTAAACTGGGGGGGGGGGGGGGGGGATGTGTACTGGAAGAAGGGTGATTTTTGTTTGGGAAGAATTTTAGCTTTCAGAAGGAATTTATGTTTTTGGGGTAGGTGTGAAGATAAGCAGGGCAGGGAGGGGATTTTTGTTGACACATAATGTTCATACATTTTGTGGGAGGGGTGCTGTTTGACATCTTCACCGTAATGACTTTGTCCTGGCACTGATGTGACCATTTTAGGTCAATGACGTCACCAGCAACCCTACCTCTTTGTTACATGCGCCTGTGGCACCTGTGGGGCCGGAAATTCCATAGCTGCAGCTGGTTGTGACGGTGGCCCGCTATCACGTGACAGCTTTTCTAGCTTAGTTCGGATGGAACCTTAGCTCATCCCTTGTGGCTATATAAAACTTAAAAAAATGAATAAATAAATAACGAAAACATTGTCTCCAGCCTCTAATGTTCCCGTGAGGCATGGAAGAAATCATTGTGTCTACTGGCAGAGCTGGGAGCTTGAAATCCTGTGAGAATGCACTTTAACCTACTGGAAAACTGCTTTCTCTAGGGATTTTGAACTCCCAGCTCTGCCAGGAGGCATGGTGACGTCACTCCTGGAAGAATTAGCTTTAAATGAAGTCCTGCTTTTTATTGTTTGTCAGATGGTTTGTTTATAAATGGCATTTTAAAGTCAATAATGTTGAGGACTGCAAAAAACAAAGAAGACCTTCCATTTGCCATGGAAGGTCCACTGCAAGGCAGAATGGGGCCATAGGAAAGGTAGCAGCTTTGGCCCCCACATCAATATGGATAGGCACTAATAAGCTTGTATGGGCTCCATAAGAAACCAACTACAACAAGTAGATCTTCTCTTATGAGGTGGCAGACGCATAGCTTTGACCCACCGTACCATCCTTGGATTGCCAAGGTTGCAGTTGGGCCCCTGGACCTCATTTACTAAGCTCTGGAGCAACTGCGCTATGCAAAGTGCACAGTCTATTTGCTTTAATAAATCAACCCCATTGTTTCCAGATACTGGAGGTGTATGCTATTAATTATCTTAAAGGGAACCTTTAGTGGGAGAAATGGAAAGGCTTCCATTGCTGATCACCTTCTAAAAAAATGACTTCCAAGAACTGAAAACGGGCTTGCTATAAAGAGTACTAGAGTGTGCAGAATTTTACTTTAGCACCCCCATAGGTCACGCTGAAGTTTGGGTCACCACCTATTCTGCACTGAAGCACTGCCAACGTAGACCCCGATTACTAATATGACTCAATCCTTCCCCATCATTCAACAAACTAGTATCTGAGTCTATATTTTAGTATTTGATCCCTCAGTCTCAAATGGACATGTTCACAAAGAGCTCTAGGTTTGGGTGCTCATCCCCCTTTCTTGGTATGTTAGGACTCATGTACATGGGCAGTTTGGCCCATACAGTGTAATATTAGAGTGTTTTGGGCACAAGGGAGGCTCCAGCTCACTGCCAGCAGCTTTTTCAAATCAATGACTGGCTGAAAGATGCAGCAACTGCATGCAACCCTGAGCGGTACTCATGTTTATGGCAGTAGGTGTTCAGGGACGTATGCCCCAAAGGCAGGAATTTCACATTTGGGGCATATGTCCCTAAACATGAATACTGCTCAGAAAAGCATACAGCTGCCAAGTATTTCAGTCTATGGTTTGATTTTGACAGGGTGTTGGCAGCAGGTTATAGGCTGCATCGGGGCCTTCCTTGTGGAAAAAACACCTGTATGAGCCAAACTGCCCATGTGCATGAGCCATAAACCGGTAAAAACATCTTAGCTCTCCAGATGCAATGGGAAGGACCACTTGTACTTCTACACGTGCTGCAGAGCTGATTAGTGTGATGCAACTGAAAGGGTGGGAACTGACATTTGTGAGGGAGTCAAGTAATGAGTCTATGGGGTTTATTTACTAAAGCTGGAGAGTCCAAAATCAGACTCCCTTCTGCATAGAAACCAATCAGCTTCCAGGTTTCATTGCCAAAGCTTCATTGAACAAGCTGAGGTTAGAAGCTGATTGGTTTCTATGCAGAAGGGAGTCTGATTTTGGACTCTCCAGCTTTAGTAAATAAACCCCAATATGTCCTCTTCTCCCCACTGCAAAGAAAGGAGATGAAGACATCTGACTCTAATATTATAATTATTATTATACAGGATTTATATCGCGCCAACAGTTTGCACAGCGCTGTACAATATAAGGGCAGACTGTACAATTACAATACAAATGAATACAGGAGGATGAAGAGAGCCCTACTTACAATCTAAGAATCTCTAGTTTGCATTTTACCACCCTGGACTTCGTAAGCAAAATGTCACTTTTTCAAAGCAATTAAAAAAACAAAAAAAAGGATAACTTACATGCTGACACCTAAATCCCAGATCTCCACCCTATTCTCAGTCACTGCTCCAAATACCAGGGGCGAGGTGGGAGACCACATGATGTCATGGACAGCGTTTGTAGTGGCCGAGAACGTTAAGATGGGTTTCAGGATGTCCTGACGCCACAAGTGAATACTCCAGTCTGCTGAGCAACTGAGGAACACGTCTGGGCAGAAGGGAGACCACGCCAGCTTATAGACCGGACCCTGAAATGTGAAGAGACATTTAGATAGACGGTATATATTATTATAAGTAATTGGCTACAGCCATAAACTGAACACACATATGCATATAACAGGCCTGCCCAATGAAGGTCATTGCACTGTTGTTTTCAGATACAGGTGGCCCAAAGGGGTTGAATTTGGTGTGCTGCATCTCTAAGAGTGAGATGCTGATCACAGTCTTTACACCTCTGCCCTTCCATCGTAAAGTTCCACTTTAGGTAACACTTACAGGTCTTGTCCCTGCGCCAGCCTGTGAATGGACAGTGAAAGGAGAAGAAGCAGTCTGATGAGCTTATTCTGTCACTCTGCTCTCCCCTCCTATCAGCATGCCTCTTGCTAGCATATGGGAACTGCAGCACAACGGATTGGCTGCTTCTGCTGCTTTTCCCTCTCCCAGTTTAATCTCTGCTCTACAGAAATTCAAGAGGCAAATACCAGGTCAATTTCAGGCACTTTCCCTGCTTACATGTAATGATGTATGCCCTCCAGGGGATTTAACCCCCTTCCTGACCAGGCCATTTTTTGCATTACAGCCCTGCATTACTTTAACTGACAATTACGCAATCTTTACCAAGTAATTACAGACTTGTTAGTTTAACCTCTATAGTTGGGAAGATACTGGAGAGTTTAATAAAAGACCACATAGAGGAGTTCTTGCTGGAAAAAAATATTTTAAGCAACAGACAGCATGGATTCATGAAAGACAGAAGTTGTCAAACAAATATGATTTCTTTTTATAAGGGGGTGAGCAAGATCTTGGACAGAGGGGTGGGGTGGACGTGGTATACTTGGACAGAGGGGTGGCTATGGACGTGGTATACTTGGACAGAGGGGTGGCGGTAGACGTGGTATACTTGGACAGAGGGGTGGACGTGGTATACTTGGACAGAGGGGTGGCGGTGGACGTGGTATACTTGGATAGAGGGGTGGCGGTGGACGCGGTATACTTGGACAGAGGGGTGGCGGTGGACGCGGTATACTTGGACAGAGGGGTGGCTGTGGACGTGGTATACTTGACAGAGGGGTGGCTGTGGACGTGGTATACTTGGACAGAGGGGTGGCGGTGGACGCGGTATACTTGGACAGAGGGGTGGCGGTGGACGCGGTATACTTGGACAGAGGGGTGGCGGTGGACGCGGTATACTTGGACAGAGGGGTGGCGGTGGACGCGGTATACTTGGACAGAGGGGTGGCGGTGGACGCGGTATACTTGGACAGAGGGGTGGCTGTGGACGTGGTATACTTGGACAGAAGGGTGGCGGTGAACCAATGACCCGAGTACTGCCAGGCGGAAGTGCTAACCATTTAGCTACTGTGCTGCCCCATTCCAAGTATTGGAATTTTTAGAAGAAAACCCATATCCATGCATTCCTAAAGCTAGATATACCTGCGCAGTATTCATGTGTACACATACGGTAATGTGAGCCAGTCATTAGGGTAACAAAAAAAATGGAGGAAACTAGAATAGTCTATTAATAATACAGGAATCTGGAAGAGACGGAGGAAACTAATATAAAGGAATCTATAAATAATACAGGAATCTGATAGAGACAGGGGGACCTAGAAAAGGGGATCTATTAAGAATACAAGAATCTGGAAGAGATAGGTAACCTAAAATAACAGAATCTTTTACTTAAATAGGAATCTGAAGGAGATGGGGGCCTAGAATAAAGGAATCTATTAATCATACATGGATCTGGAAAAAATAGGGGAACCTTGAATAAATCTAATAATAATTCAGGGATCTGGTAGAGATAATGGAATCTAGAATAAAGGAATCTTTTCATAATACAGGGATCTGAAAGAGATGAGGGGGGCTAAAATAAAGGAATCTATTAATAATACAGGGATCTGGAAAATATAGGGGAACCTAGAATAAAGGGATCTATCAATCATATGGGAATTTAAAAGCAATAAAATGTGATGTTGTAAAAGCAGAATGTCATATCTAATACAGGAATTTGGAGGAGACGAGGGGGCCTAGAATAAAAGAATCTATTCATCACACAGGAATCTGGAATGGATAGGGGAACCTAGAATAAAAAAAACTAATAATAATTCAGGGATCTGGGAGAGATGGGGACCTAGAATAAAGGAATCTATTCATAATACAGGAATCTGGAATGGATAGGGGAACCTAGAATAAAGGAATCTATTATGAAATACAGGGATATGGAATGGATAGAGGAACCTAGAATAAAGGATCACACCTCCCAATTCCCTTCATTCTGATACCACCTCCCGATTCCATCCACTCTGATCACACCTCCCGATTCCTTCCACTCTGATTACACCCCCAGATTCCTCCACTCTGATCACACCCCCAGATTCTTCCACTCTGTTCACACCCCCAGATTCCTCCACTCTGATCACACCTCCCGATTCCCTCCACATTGATCACACCTCCCGATTCCCTCCACATTGATCACACCTCCCGATTCCCTCCACATTGATCACACCCCCAGATTCCTCCACTCTGATCACACCCCTAGATTCCCTCCACTCTGATCACACCTCCCGATTCCCTCCACATTGATCACACCTCCCGATTACCTCCACATTGATCACACCCCCAGATTCCTCCACTCTGATCACACCCCTAGATTCCCTCCACTCTGATCACACCTCCAGATTCCTTCCACTCTGATCACACCCCCAGATTCCCTCCATTCTGATCACACCTCCAGATTCCTCCACTCTATTCACACCCCCAGATTCCTCCACTCTGATCACACCCCCAGATCCCCCCCCCCCCCTCTGATCACTCCCCACTCCCCAAGATTCCTCCACTCTGATCACACCCCTAGATTCCCTCCACTCTGATCACACCCCCAGATTCCCTCCATTCTGATCACACCTCCAAATTCCTTTCACTCTGATCACACCCCCAGATTCCTTCCACTCTGATCGCACCCCTAGATTCCCTCCACTCTGATCACACCCCTAGATTCCCTCCATTCTGATCACACCTCCCAATTTCCTCCACTCTGATCACCCGCCCAGATTCCTCCACTCTGATCACCCCACAGATTCTCCCAGGTCCATCCACTCTGATCACACCTCCTGAATCCCCACCAGACCCCTCCATTCTGATCACACCCCCCAAAAACCCCCCTCCCACATCATACACAGAATCCCCCACACATCTCTCCGGTCCTGCAGTACCAGGGACAGGAGAGTTAGCTGTGTCCCATGCAGGCAGAAGAATATCTCCAGCAGGATTTCCGGTGGCAGCTGTAGCAACCAGTGGAGGCCTCCTCCACCCTGACCTCCTGCCATACCCCTAACACCCCCCCCCCCCCCTCCATACACACACACACATCGTGAAGCTTACTGCCTGAATACACCAGCAGGTAAACTAAAACCTCAATGATGCGCCCTCTCTCCTACTGAGGAAAGAGGTATTTTATAATGTTGCGCCAAGGGCAACTGCACCGGTTGCCCTCCCCCCCCCCATGCTACGCCACTGCCAACCAATGAAAGTGGCAGGCCAGGGACAGTAAAGCAGGGCAGAAAGAGCTAGGTGATGTTGGTTGTCCTCCAGCCAGGAAATCAGGCAGGCTCTATGTGCTTTGCTGTAGGTTCTAATGAATACTACAAGAAGCTCAAAGTGTACAGTAAAATCAGAGCAATTTCAAGACTGAAGGTAAGACTGGAGGTCAGTTTTATGTCCTAGACAAAGGGGCAGCAATATATGGCTTTTAAACTGCTAAAAAAAAATACTTCATACTTTTAAAGATCAGAAGAGGAACTGAAGCCTATTACGGAACAGGGATCCCCATGAACACAGGACATGAGAATGGAGGTAATCCAGATATCAGCTTAGCCCAGGACAGTTGCGGTACCAGGAATCCTCACCTTATGTGCCTTGTAGGTATCCAGAAACTGTTCGTTGTATGAGCAGGAACACTTGTGTATGTGACCCTCTTCTGTACCAGCAAGGTAAATATTACAGTCCTAGAACAGAACATAAAATTGTTTATTCTCTTCCCTACACGTCGTTATCCACTGATGTCAATCAAAACTGAGTTGTAACATTAAATACCTACAATGTATTAAAGTCAAACTTTGAGTTGAACCCTTGAAATACACGGACTGTGGTCTACCTGCCCAGAGCTTCTGTTTTTCAATATGGCATTGCCATTGCCTTATGGATGGCAATCTTGTGTCCCTGAAGCACCAACGGCTGAGCAATATGAATGTGAAGGTTGAGAATTACCATGTAAACCCATCTTTATATTTGGCATCACCAGAAGGGTCAAAGGTTACATCAATGAAGGTTACATCACTGATGGCATCATCCCCTGGTCCGCTTTTCTCTCTCTTTCCTTTGTGATTGGATAATTACTAAACAAAATCAAAGTACACTGGATTGTGCAAAAGATGTAATGCACTTAAATTTAGCTTTGTAGATTTCCATACATATCACAGTTGGATGTACTAAGTTTGCAAGAACTAATACTGCAGGGCTGTGCTGTGATATGACCATACCTCCCAACTGTCCTCGATTCCGAGGGACTGTCCCTGATTTGGAACAATGTCCCTCTGTCACTCTTTCCTCCTCATTTGTCCCTCATTTTGGTCTGATCTATATAGCTGTTTATAAAAATGGACTTTCAAAAAGTGTTTAACGGTGCTAAACCCTTCATCTAGTTTCTAAATTGCATTTGTAAACTTCAAAAGCCAATATAAAGGAATAGTAGTTGTAAAATAAAGCACTTATGGGTTTAACTAATTTTTTTTTTTTTTTTTTTTTTGTAGAATTCTCCTTTAAGGGGGCAAGGCAGGGGGTGTGTCCTATGCCTCCATATATTTGCTAATAGGTGTCCCTTGTTCCCATCTCAGAAAGTTGGGAGCAGGGGCGGACTGACCATGTGGAAACTCGGGCACTGCCCGGCGGCCCGGGGTCAGTAGGGGGCCCCATGAGATGCCCCTGGTACCTTTTTCATAGGCTTTTTTGAGTTTGGGCAAGGACACAGGGGCCCCATGATCCCTTATTGCCCGGGGGCCCCATGAGTTGTCAGTTCGCCCCTGGTTGGGAGGTATGCGTGACCAGGTGAGCATGTTCTGATTTGATTCTGATTGATTCGAAATTCAGCTGATTCAATACATGTATTGGCAGGCTGGTTATACTGACGAATCTTTCAATTGACTTGTGTACAACCAGCCTGTTGGGTTTCTCCTGAACAATCAGTGCCACCAACTATAGCTGGTAAACCTGAATTTTGTAGTTTGATGGCAGCGAAGGCTCCCCAGTGTTAGAATACAATAACTCAGCAGGGAGAATCCCACCCCCATACGCATCGAGCATGTAGATGGGGGAATTGGATAAAAAATTTTTCCCCATTCGACATCTGGTTGAACAAAAAAAAAAAAAAAAAAAAAGATTAATATACGGCCTGCCTAACCCAGAAAAAGAATGCAAATAAGGACTTCTGACATTTAATGAGTTTCCTTATGTGTAAAAGTGTTCCAAAAAGTACTGAAGCCAGGGGATCAGCATAGCAGCCAAGTAATTAGTATCTTCAGATGTCAGCAGTGGAAGTAGCCAAATTTCTTAGTAAAGATTCCCTTGAAGTTTAACTCAGTGGCCTTTCTAATTTAAGCATGATTAAAGCTGAATTTCAGGGAGGTACTCTTTGTAGTTACAGCCTGGCCAATCCCTGTGGAAGCGGAGAATCACTGTAGTAGCTGCCACTACTAAAGGGATCCTCACGGTCTTCCAGGTCCCTTGCCGAGCAGCACCTTGCTATGTAATAACCACGGGGAGTCACTTGCTCAGCACTGGTGCCATCCAAAGAACACCTATTTTTCTAAATAAATGCAATGCGTTCCTTAATTGAATGAGATGGAGAGGCAGGGAGGCAACAACATATGAGCAATAGACAACAGCCTACAGCTTTACCTGTTGATCAAAAAATAGAAAATATTATTATACATTTCCTTATTACCTGCCTATAAAAAGCAAAAATCTTTTTTTTTTTTTTTTAGTTCTGCACAATAAATTAAAAAAATTAAATATATGTAAAAGTATGATATGGGACCTGAAGGATAAGAACATGGAACAACTGGGCCTCTGTAAGGACGCAGAAATGATGCAGTCGCTTAAAGTGGTTTACAAACTATAGTGAAAAATGTTTTCTAAATCGATAGCCAATCCTGCCCTTTTCAATGGCAAAGCACAGAGCTCAGACAGTGCACACAGCATGCTGTCCTTTGGCCAAACTTGGAAAATGATATTGAGGATGGGCTGCTGTGTCTCCCCTTGTTTTTGGTGAGACTTTGACTGTATGTGTATTACAGTACCACAAGGGCCATGTTTGGTAATGTAGCTCCAGGCGCCTTGCATGCGTTTTGCATCGCACACGCACACCGGGTCACACCTTGTGGCATGCGTTTGAGCATGTGTAACCATGTGCAAGGATAGTCAAGGATGTGCATGTGTTAGTGTGTCTACCTTATGCTGGTTCATACACATGAGTCAAGAAGGGCATTTAAACTCCTTATGGCGGTCGGTGTAGTGACTCGACAATTACCTTGCTGGACTGCTTGCCTTACTTCTGCCTTTTCTGTTGCTGACACCAAATTTCCTGACTTTGACTGTGTTTCCTGACCCTGTTGCCAACTCTGCTAGTTTCTGACCATCCTTGGTTGCCACCTGCCTCAACCCCGGTCTTGAAACTGATTATCCTAGTCTGCCGCCTGCCTCAACCTGCACCTGAAACTGGCCTTTTCTGTGCCATTCTGTTTCCTCATTGTATCCTTCCTGTTCCGGCAAACCCCTGGTGGGATGATCCTGAAGGCCATGACTCGGCGACATCTTGCAGCAAAGTAGGCTGGTGGACTTGCAGGGCGCTCTGGTGAAAACCAAGGTGTCACTTAGCCTTGGGTGACCCTGCATCAACTGTCAGGGTGAATCTCGTAATGCTGTGGCACAGAGGAAAGCAGAGATCTTTTTCTCTGGCATTCAATCATATTACAAAATTAAGTATCTAATAGGTTGCCATGGGAAGCAGCACTGATTCTTCACACACAGCCCAGCGTGACGTTGTGACATAACAATGCGTTTCATTAGCTCATACCGCAGGAAGGAAGTCAAAACACATCCCAGGAGCCTGCCGGGAGATGAATGCTTCCCCTTTCATCTCTTTCTCTCCGGCCGATTTTTTCGATCGGTCGCTTCCTGTGCGCTTTAATCTCATCAGATCTGCCAGAAATGGAAAACAAAAATATAATGAATTTGTTTAAATAAATGGCATAAAGTACATATCAAGAATTGCTCATTTCTGATGTCTTATGTAACATGATACAGAACAGAAATAGATTGGCCATAGATGACTAGATCTTTTTTGATCAGCCACAAGGCTGAGTGAAAAAAAACCTAATGCAGGCCACAGACGGGGAGAAAACCGGACGTTTTTTTTTTTTTTTCTTTTTTTTTTTTTAGAAAAACGAAAAATCGGTCGTTCAATCAGCCGACGTTACCACCATTGGTAAAAAAAAAGTCGGTTTATTTTTGTCCCGTCTACGGTCGGCAATTAAAATATGCAGAAGAAGAAGAAATAGAATATGAATAAAAAGAAGAAATAGAATATGAAGAAGAAGAAGAAGAAATAGAATATGAATATGAATAATAATAAGAAAAGCTGCAACATTGTATCTATTTGTATCCATTTTGGATACAGATGTTTCTATTCGGATACAAATAGATACAATGTTGCTATACTTTTAAATGTCAAATATAATATTGGACAGAAATTCTTTTTATTCTTCTTCTTACTCACATTCTATTTCTTCTTTTCTTCTTATTCATATTCTATTTCTCCTTCTTTATATTCTATTTCTTCTTTTTATTCATATTCTCTTTTTTTCCTTTTCTTCTTTTCCTTCTTCTTTCATGTCACTGCTCATGCGCATTTTTTAAAATCGGAAAAAGGTCGGCAGATTTGTCCATCATTGCCGCGAAAATCGGCAGAACGACAAATTTGGCTGATTATTTTCCAGCAGGACCGATAATCCAAAAGGGCAAAAATCACTAAAAACAGCCGACCGATAACTGCACTGAAAATCTGAAAATCGGCTGATATTTTTTTTTCGCCCGTTTTTTCATCCCATCTATGGCCCGCATAACTGTTTCTCCCATCCACACAAGCAAGGAATCCTCCCCACTGTGCCATTGTATTCTGACAGCAGGGACTCCTGCAGCCACTGACCAAATGGAAATTTTCCAACATTCTCATTCAACAAAAATTGGTTGTTAGATCAGATTCTGTCAAATGGGAATGGCCATAGATGGATCAAAATTCAACCAGTTTGTGCCAAAAGGGAAGAATTTTTATCCATTTATGGACAGCTTTAAAAGGTTTATTCAAATGTAGCTTTGTTGTCAATCTGCCACAATACTAAATGTCAGTGGTTTGCCAGTCTTGGAAAGTAAAGTGGTTTTATACCTCTCACATGAAAAATGAACAAAGCATATCCCTCTTTAATTGTCTTAATCCAGAGCACTAATTGTCATTTCTGTCTGATGCCTAGTTCCTCTGCTGTCTGCATGAGTCACTTCTGAAACGTTTTCCTGACACCAACAGGTGACGGGAAGGATCTCCAGCACACAGCCTGTGATTGACAGCCTCATCTCTGTTCCTGTGTGCCACATGAAGGGGATGTGTCCCTTCAACTCTCAGAGCTCTGTAGAGTGTAACTTTAGCTTCCTGCCCCCTGCTTTCTGAAAGCTCAGATAAGTTGTACTGATGATTGACTTTGTTTGGCTGTAGAGAAGAGAAGCCTGAAAATAAACTAGGTGCGACTTATGTAGGAGGATTTGTTTCATCTCTGTGTATCACCTGGGACCAATCACTTCACTGGGTATATGTAAGGATTTACAACCACTGTCACTGGGCTCATTCAGGGATAGCTATGTTCACCCATTTGAACTCCCTTGTTGCATACCCACTCAGTCAGATCCCTTGCTCTATTGTTTCTTGGTACGGGAGACCTCCCCATGTGACAGTGCTCAGGCCTGATCATTAAATTGCCAGGCTCAAACACTCTCACATTGGTAGGAGGCAATGACATCGTTTAACCAGGAGAGATCTGACACCAGAGCATAGCCAGGGAAGATTCCTGCAGCAAGGAGGTAGTGAGGTGTGGATTGGCGAATATACCCTGCTGGTGGGGTAGGCCTGAGAGCAACATCTCCTGAACTAAACTTGTATGGGGGGCCCCTCGCCTCCCGCCCCTCAATAAAATGTGTACCAACCTTGTTAAATCTGAAATATTAGCAGAAAGCCTTGCGAGATGGGAGAGCGCATTTAAAGTAGAAGTAAAGCCTTGCAGTATATCTTTTAATAGTAATGCTTATGCAGGCCATACATGGGTCATTTATTGGCTGAATTTTCGTCCGCACGAAAAATCGGCCGATATTCACGCCATTAGCGGGGCAATGCCGTCGGCTGTTTTTCGCGGATCTTCTCGTTTCTTTTTATTGGTCATGCTGGAAAATCCACGAAAAACGGCCGTTTTTCGTGAGCACTGGTGGCAGCATCCATGGCGGCAACAACCGATTTTTCCTTTATCGGCCGACAATTCGGCCGATAAACGGCCCGTCTATGGCCAGCCTTACACGTAGATATTTTTGCATGATGAGCCTCAAAAACTCTATTTTATCCACCAGTTATCATTGTCTGCCCAGCACACAAAACCATCAAGTGCCATTGCTGAATATTCATTCTGGGGTTTGAACACTACATGTACAGTATCATCATGCTCACATGCACTGCCAACCCTGACTACACATCCCATGATGCATTGAGCTGGCATTTTTCAATGCACATGCATTCCCATTATTTCTGGTACCTCTTACAAATGACCATATTACAGAATGAACATAATCAAAAGCCATTGTATGGACGAGGCTCTCAGTCACTCTGCTGAAATAAATTTAGAATGCTTAACCTGCTGGTGCTTGCGGAGTCAGAACAATATATTGTAATCCCATGTGAGAATGCGTAGAGGGTGACTACAGTAGCCCTACAGGGAGACCATGGAGGGCAAAGGTAACCACCATCATACAAGAAGTGCAACGGCAAGATTTTGGGAATACATTTTTTTTTAAATGGAAAAGGACGTTGGAAAAAGTCCAATACAGTACATATTTGTAGACCTGAGCAAGTGATGCAAATTATATTGATATTTATCATTTGGCTTTAGTAACTTTCCTTACCACTACAGTCCAGCCCCTTCCGGATATGCCATCTTGTTATCCTGCCATCTGCACATATAGACACCAGGATCTCTCCATTATCCTCCCCCAGGCGGTTGTGATCCTGTTCGATCCACTTTAGCTGCCACACCGGACACGTATGTTTATTGGGGTTGTCACTGATGGAAACAACCGGGAAAGGGTTTCAAATAAAGAAACAGTGCAAAAGTCTCAAAAACCATCACATTCCAAAGAAAGAGATAGCAATCATTTGTAACACTGCTAGACCTCGGGAACACCATCTCCATAACAGCTCATGCGATCGATATGCATTTTTAATAATATGATGGTTAAAGTGGTTGCAAAAGCAGAAGGTTTTTTCTACCTTAATGCATTCTCTGCGTTAAGGTAAAAACCCTTCTGTGTCCAGCTCTCCCCTCAGCCCCCCATAAATACTTGCCTGAGCCTGATCTCAATCCAGCGCTGTGCCCAAGAGAAGCATCTCTCTCTCACAACATACTGGACATGGAGGCAGCAGTGGAACCATTGGCTCCTGCTGCGGTCTATCACAGCCTGTGAGCAGGGAGAGGGGGATGGGCCAAAGCCATGCTGTGTGTCAATGGACACACAGAGCCTGGCTCAGAATTGAGCCTGCAGGAGTGCCCCCATAGCAAGCAGCTTGCTATGGGACCACTTGGAAGAGGGAGAAGCTACGAGCACTGGCGGGGGACCCCAGAAGAGGAGGATCAGGTATGCTCTGTGCAAAACCATTACACAGAGGAGGTAAGTATGAGATTTGTTGTGCTAAAAAAAAAATACTACAAAAAAAAAAAGTCTACAATTACTTAAATTAAATTTTTCTACAGGATATGGCAGTCATACCCACATCATGTCTAACCATTGTTGTCAAATGACATTTAAACTTCCAAAGCTGACCTCTAAACTGCTAAATGGGGATTGCTTTATCTGCCAAAAGACTTGTATTTCTTTCCAGCCAGTCCTGAGATTTACACAGCATTGCCAGAAGGCAAGGACCTTACTGCAGCTTTGCAATACAACTTGGTCACCACACCACCCCAGCTAGTGACTGGACAGCAAAACAGCAAACTGAGGTTATGTTTCTGTTCACTCTGGTCTTTCTTAGTGTTGGCACGTTCTTTGTCAGCACTTGTGTATGGAGCAGAGCCCTGAATGGCTCTTAGTGCTGCCCTCCCCTCTCCCAGTCTGACAACTGCTGTACAAGGTATCACAAAAGTGTGATGACAAGTCAACTTTAGTCACCACTCAGCTGTAAAGGGGACTGCAAAAGGCCGATACCAAGCATAATTTAGCTAATACACTGCCCGCCTTAAAAATATATTTAACAATGTATTATTGAATACAGAGCTGCATTAATGTACTGTATATCTCTTATATCTACCTAGAGTTCAGCTTTCAAATTCATAAGTCAATAGGGCACCTGTCAGCCATACAATACTACATTGCCATTTTGAGTAAAAAGTACTTTTTCCCATTAAGAAAAACAGCCCCTCAAATGACCTAAATAAAACCTAGATCAGCCATTCTCAACCAGGGTTCTGTGAAACTCTAGAGTTCCTCCAGGGGAGGCTAAGGGTTCCTTGCGCTATGGCTAACTGACCTCCATCTGATGGTGCCTGCATAGTTCCAGATCCAATGTCACTTGGCAGAGCCAGTGGCATGACTGCAAGGGTGTCATTTTGGCCACCCTTGTCAGGGGGCATTCTTCCCACTTACCACCACCAATGTAAGGGACATATAACCAATGACCCTCGATAGACAAATCTTACCATGAGTTCTCTGAGAACTGAAAATTATTCCAAGGGTCCCACTGGAGTAAAAAGGTTGAGAAAGGCTGGACTAGATCATATGTGTCCCTGTGAATATTTCATGCCACTAGAGACTGCAGAAACATCATTGGTGGCAATCAGTTTGACTCTGATAAATTGGCAGATGAGTGATCAACAAGAAACAACTAGTAAATAAAACCTGCACAGCCCTGGCCAAATGTTTTGAGAATACCACAAATATTAATTTTCACAAAGTCTGCTGCTTCAGTGCTTTTATATCTTTTTGTCAGATGTTCCTATGGTTTACTGAAGTATAATTACAAGCATTTCATAGGTGTCAAAGGCGTTTATTGACAAATACATTACGTTTTATGCTAAAAGTCAATGTTTGCAGTGTTGACCCTTCTCTTTCAAGACCTTTGCAATTCACCCTGGCAAACTGTCAATCAACTTCTGGTCCACATCCTGACTGATGGCAGCCCATTCTTGCAGTACTTAGAGATTGTCAGAATTTGTGGGGTTTTTTTTTTGTTCACCCGCCTCTTGTGGATTGACCACAACTTCTCAATGGGATTAAGGTCTGGGGAGTTTCCTGGCCATGGAACCAAAATGTCAATGTTTTGATCTCTAAGCCACTTACTTATCACTTTTTCCTTATGGAAAATGCATTGTTTGTCACCAAACTGTTCTTGGATGTTTGGGAGAAGTTGCTCTCGGAGGATGTTTTTGTACCATTCTTTATTCATGGCTGTGTTCTTAGGCAAAATTGTGAATGAGCCCACTCCCTAGGCTGAGAAGCAATCCCACACATGAATGGTCTCAGGATACTTTGTTGTGACACAGGACTGATGGTAGTGCTCACCTTTTCTTCTCACAAGGTTTTTTCCAGATGCCCCAAGCAATTGAAAAGGTGATTTATCAGATAAAATGACTTTACCCCAGTCCTCAGCAGTCCAATCCCTGTACCTTTGGCAGACTTATCAGTCTGTCCCTGATGTTTTTCCTGAAGAGAAGTGGCTTCTTTGCTGCTCTTCTTAAGACCAGGCCATCCTCCAAAAGTCTTCGCCTCACTGTGCGTGAAGATGCACCCACACTTGCCAGCTGTCATTCCTTAGCAAGCTCTGTACTGGTGGTGTCCTGATCCTGCAGCTGAATCAACTTTAGGCGACAGTCCTGGCACTTGCTGGACTTTTTTGGGCACCCTGAAGCCTTCTTCACAACAACTGAGTCTCTCTCCTTGAAGTTCTTGATAATCCGAAAAATGGTTGATTTAGGTGCAATCTTAGTAGCAGCAATATCCTTGCCTGTGGATCCCTTTTTGTGCAAAGCAATGATGAGTGCATGTGTTTCCTTGCAGCTAAACTAATATTTGTGTCATTCTCAAATCTTTTGGCCAGGTGCAATGCAATGCGGGACACAATGACTAAAAACAAGTCATATACACACAATACACAGGTAGTCACACACACAATTACACAGGTACGTTTAACCACCATTAATTATTCTAAGCATGTGAAAGACCCACTACCGGATGAACACCTGCCCTGGCACATCATAGCATTCACTCGGCACTCCAAGAAATAACAGAATCCAACTGCAATATTCTTGCACTGTCAAAACCTCCACTTTTACTATCACACGACACACGGGAGGATTTATCTTGTAGTCATCACAATCTGCATAATAACACACACCAATAATAATGTGAGCATTACAGCATGAAATAGACACACCTTTTGCCAGCGTCACAGCATAGAATTAATACATTACCAAAGCTATGGGAAGACGGGAAGGAACAGACCCCATCAGAACCATAATGCACATGGGGGTCGCTGAGAAGCCGTAACGCAACCAACCGATGAGCCCATATAGCCTTGGCAAGAGTCCCAGCGTCGGAGCATCCTCTTCCGCATAGGAAGGCTGCTCAACTTGATCACGCTCAAGCTATGTGTTTTAAACCCTATTTCTAGCAACTTTCCCAAAATGGGTGGGCGCCACACCCACTCAAGGAGGAGCTAGCAGAAAGGTTCTGTGAGGATAACAGAGTCACAACCAGCCACTACGCTGAACAAACAACGTTTATCCAAGAATATCACACTTTTGTTTCAGATCAGCTTCTTATCTACCCTAAACTTAAAGATTTCTATTTTCTGAAACAAGTAGACATCTTTAATTGTGCAAACATGTTCTTATCTACCTTAAGCAGTTTAATATCTTGTGACTCTGTTCCTTGGGCCTAGAAAAATTACATCAATGTCTCATGCTCCTGGCATCTGGGCAACAATGTTTTATTGTAAAAATTACCCTAGGAACAAAGGGCCCAAGGCCAACACATTTCATAGGCATTACACCAGGCCTGTATAAGTAATGAACAAATATGGATAGTCCTGATACATATATTATTACACATAACAACATAATTTTCAAAATATTAAATCAGTTATGAGATCACTTGAGTCCCCTTTAGTATACAAACATCCTACCATACCTGCTGTCTAGGACTGGGACGTCATCTTTGTTCTGTACATTGTAAATTGCTACTGTGCCATCATACATCCCAACAGCCAAAAGATTCGGAGAGGCTGCTGAAAAGTCCAAAGCTGTGACCCCACTTTCACAATGGAATATCCTCTCTGGCCACTTAATAAAAAAAAAAAATCAATGACTAATAAGTACACGTGACAAAAACACTGCACCTGAAGAGACACAGTTAATGACATTATCCCCCAAAAAGTATGCACACCCTTCTGTGCTTTCTTGCTACAGAAGTCTGCTCTAGTGGAGAATATTGATGTCATTGCCCCCCTCCCATGTGACAGTGTTCAGGCCTGGCAAGTCAGAAGAGGTATAGCCCCTAAAACATGTGTACAACGGCAAGAGACCTTATTGATACTCTCAATAGTGGGTCATCCTCACAAATCATTTACTGTATGAAGCGGAGTTCCAGTTTACAGTACTCCCTCTGGCTGGCTAACAGAGGATGGAATTCCTATTTGACATCTAGGAGCCCCCATCCATGACACTAGGAGCCCCCATCCATGACACTGGGATGTGCTATGTTTGCTTACAAAAACAAAGAGGCTTTTGTAAGTTCAATATTGCTCTTTCATATTTGTTTAATTAAATTATGTTCTGTGCTATCTGGTGCACCTTGGCTTTTGTTTTCTTCTCTTTTTAAGTTGCCTTTTGAAAAGGATGAAGGCCATCTATTGACTCATCTGCTCTCCCTTAAATATACCAAGTGAAGTGACTGGCTTCAGGTGATACAAAGATTGAAACAAATCCTCCTACATACGTTGTACCTGTTTATCTGCAGCCCTCTCCTCTGTACATCCTTCTAAAGCACACATTTTACTCAGAATGTTTGATGGGCAGAAGGTAGGTGGTAAGACTCTGAAGTCAGCCACTACATAGCATAGAGAGGAGAGCGGAGTAGATACACAACTCTATACACAGTCTCATATGGAATCATGCACAGCTAAGGCTGGCAATCACAGGCTGTGTGCTAGAGCTCCCCTCCGTATTCCCCTTGGAGTCAGTATAACCTGTCAGACGTGACTCATGCAGATAGCAGAGGAATGCAAAAGGAGACAGAAATCAACTAAGTGTTTTAGATTGAGGCAAGTACACACTAAACAAGGACATGCATTGTTCATTTTTCAATTCAGGTTGAGGTATACAATCACTTTAAAATGTAATGTCAGGAGGCAAGAGAGTATTTTTGACAAGTGTGTGTGTGTGTGTGTAAAGTTTAGCTTGAGCTATTGTGGTCTGTGAACAATCCGTCTTATTTTACCAAAGTGGATAAGGACAGAACAGTAAATATGTAAAATAACCTCAGCATTCCACCTGCTGGCTGGAAATTAGATTTCAAAATATTTCTATAAAACATACTATTAATAAAAATAACAAAAAATCAAATAAAATATACATTCCCTTTCACTGCACCCATTGACTTTAGTTTCCATATTCTCTTTGTGCAGTGTATATATGAGGGACTGCTGCTGCCGATGTGTCTACAGCTACAAGGCTCCCCATACACAGGCGGTATAAAGGAATGGAATAAACAATCAGATCTAATGATTTATTTCTTACTGCTGTGTTCTTCAGTGACCAGCAACACGCCAATCCAGCTTTTTGTTCTTTGAAGCCAAAGTGCCCATAGCCAACAGCCAGGAGATCCTGAGAGATCAAAAAACGGATAAATGCAGGAACAGAGACATAGAAGTGTCAGAATGTATTACACATCTAGTATATCAGCATAGTGTTGTTTCAACTAACCAGGTTTTTTTTATTCCACGATGTACTGCTGACATTGTGTCCCTTTGTTATGTCACACACGAAGGACCACAGTCGATCTAAACTGGGAGATGTCACCTTCGTTATGACCTCTGTGTCACTAGAAGAGTCCGGATCTGTAAAATATAGGGCACACTTCATATTATTATTATTATTATTATTATACAGTATTTATAAAGCGCCAATGGTTCGCTCAGCGCTGTACATTACAAAGGGGGACAGAACATGTGACAGAACAATAACAATACAATGCAAAACATGAGGTGATTGAGGGCCCTGCTCTTTCGAGCTTACAATCTAGGAGGGAGGGGATAGTGGCACAGGAGGAGATAGCTGTGGGGGATGGAGTGGTAGGAAGAGTGGAGGAGGTCGGCAAGTTAGCAGGGGTGGGGTAGGCTTCCCTGAAGAGATGGGTTTTCAGGGTGCGCCTAAAGGAGAGGAGAGTAGGTGATAATCTGATGGGTTGGGGCAGGGAGTTCCAGAGGATGGGTGACACCCTGGAGAAGTCCTGGAGGCGGGCATGGGAGGAGGAGACCAGGGAACTAGAGAGAAGGAGGTCTTGTGAGGAGCGGAGTGTGCGTGTTGGGTGGTACTTGGATATTAGGTCGGTGATGTAGTTCGGGGCAGTATGGTGGACGGCTTTGTACGTCAGTGTTAGGATTTTGAATTTGATCCGTTGCGCAATCGGAAGCCAGTGGAGGGATTGGCAGAGGGGGGTGGCGGAGATGGAGCGGTTGGAAAGGTGAATGAGTCTGGCAGCCGTATTCAGGATGGACTGAAGCGGGGATAGCCAGCGGCGAGGCAGGCCAGTGAGGAAGGAGTTGCAGTAGTCGAGTCGTGATATGATGAGGGAGTGGATGAGCTGTTTAGTGGTTTCTGGGGTTAGGAACGTGCGGATTTTGGCGATGTTGCGGAGGTGGAGTCTGCACGAGTTTGTTAAAGATTGGACTTGGGGCTGGAAGGATAGGTTGAAGTCAAGAATGACACCAAGTACTCTGGCCTGCGGGGTGGGTTTTGATGGTAGCGTTGTTCGATGTGATAGAGAAGTCAATGGGGGTGGTGTCCGGTCTGGGGGGAAGTCAAGAAACTCGGTTTTGGAGAGGTTCAGTTTAAGGAAGTGGAGCGATATCCAGTCTGATATGTCGCTCAGCAGGTGTGTGATTCGGGCGGAGACCGAGGGGGTGAGGTAAGGGGGTTGAGAGATAAATTTTGTGTGTCGTCGGCTTAGAGGTGGTAGTTCATACACCGTTTAGATCAGTGGTTCTAAGCCTTCCTAATGCCGTGACCCTTTAATACAGTTCCTCATGTTGTGGTGACCCCCAACCATAAAATTATTTTCATTGCTACTTCATAACTGTAATTTTGCTACTATTATGAATCGTAATGTAAATATCTGATATGCAGGATGTATTTTCATTGTTACAAATTGAACATAATTAAAGCATAATGTTTAATCAATCACAAAACAATATCTAATTATATATTGTGAAATATTTATTTCTAATTACAAATAAATTAAATTTTGTCTTGAAGTATAGTGTAGCATGGGTCTTAGGCGACCCCTGTGAAAGGGTCGTTCGACCCCCAAAGGGGTCGCGACCCACAGGTTGAGAACCGTTGGTTTAGATTATTTGCTACAATAAGACAGGTGAGAAGTTTGACTGTCTAGTCCTAGATATGGTACCTTGAAGTATATGTAAATATTAATCACCAAAAAAAAAGAGGTCTCACCTTTTCCTACTGTATATGTATTGCTATTCTTTTTCCATTTTAGTTCTCTATCCTCTGTCCATGTGGAGCAACATCGCTGGCGCCAAGAACATCTGGAATCATGTGGCAACGTTGTCTTTCCATGGACTGTATACAGTGGGATTGTAGTAAACTCTGGCTGTTGACTACTACCCACCCCACAGTCTACCACCTTTTTTTTTTTTCAATTTGTGAAAAGTGAGGTCACATTAGAATCTCTACTTTGTTTGTATTATCTTCTATTTCCTTGTTAGGGACATTTTAACTTTTAACTTGTTGGTGACCAGAAGAAGCAGAGGCTCCAAACCTTTCCCACTACACTAAAAACTACTTCTCCCTTCTACCTATCCAAAGTGTCACCAGTGTCAAAGAGGTAAGAGGAAATCTCCTCGATGGGGACACAGACAGCAATAAAATCTGGCACATCATCTAACTCATTTCTACAATATGCTGAAGGGAAGGGTCCTCTTCTGCTGATCAGGAAAAGTTTGGACAAAGCCATTGGTTGGTGGATCAGCTCCCTGTTCTGAGATCTTGAGGCAAAATGCCTGATCAGGCTGTAGACCTGTGTGGAATCCTAGAGCAATGGTCTCTGTTGTCAGGGTTTTTCATGTCCTCTGTTACCTTCTCTAACTTTAAAAGAGCTGGATGGGTTGGATTTAGAGGATTTTACTGGACTATAGGTCTACTGAAGTAGTAGGGAGAAATGAGAAGCTGTTGTGTAAACATCTATTGTCTTGATACCTCTCAACCAATCTGTTGTCCTGAATTCCTACATCATGTATTTCACTTCTGGGTTCCGTCATCCTTCAGTCTCGCATGGCTATCAAATCAGTCAAATTGGCATTTAAAAGGCCCAAGACTTACTGCAGAGGCACTAGATGACAGTGAGGTCTAGAAGTAAAAGATGAAGCTATTTACAAACTGGTACACACAGCCCCAGATGGCCCTGAGGATGATCCAAGAAGAGGTTTATCTACCAAATTGTGGTGCTTCTTTTATTAAAGGCCCCAGAGGGAGATAGATTCAGATGAACTGAGTTTCGACTATTGTAGTTTGTGGAGTTTGGTCTGAGAAAGACTAGGTGGGTTCCCTGGCCACCACCACTCCAGGAACAGGTGGAGGTTTGAAGATGGTGCTCTGTCAGGAAGACTGAGTGCATGGCCATGCAAAAGATCTGTACCTGTGCATATTACAGCCTGTGGCCCATTATGCAGGGTTATGGCAATGGACACCAATGCGTGCATTCATGTGCATGCTCACCCTAATGTGTGTATGAATGAGCATGCATGTCTGACACTAGCTTTGGCACCAATCACCCAATTTAAAGCACAGCATTCTGAAGAGAAGTTACTGAGTGAAAGAGTGGAGCACACTGAAGAGAAGTTACTGAGTGAAAGAGTGGAGCACACTGAAGAGAAGTTACTGAGTGAAAGAGTGGAGCACACTGAAGAGAAGTTACTGAGCTTCTGTCACCTGTGAACTGACCTGCATTCTTCTGTCCTGTGTTTGATTCTGCTTGCCTCCTGACTTTGCGATAATCTGATCAACCACTACTGAATTTGTTAACTCGTGTTCTGACTTCGTCTTCTGCCTGTTGCTTCTGTACCTTTTCTGCCTGTCTGGTATTGACCTTGGCCTGGACTTTGACTCTGCTACTGCCTGTTGAACCAGTAACTCTGCTGCTTCGCTGTTGCTGACCTCTGCTCATCTTGACTTTGCTGCTTCCTGCACCTGCGGGTTTCAGTGCCTGACCTGCTTTCAATCTGTGCTAGATAAGGTCTGAGCATTTACAGCATCTCAGCAAACCTCATATTGTCATCTGACCAACGGCTGTGTCTGGATCTACTGCAGGTACCCATGCCACGTTTTGTCCTGCTACACCCTGTTAAAACTTCCAGGGGGTTTCGGACTGAGGAAGTATGGGAAGCCCTCTTGTCAAGTCAACCTCAACCAAGTACATGACATGGTCTCTCTATGTTGTAAATATTTCTGATTCATGCATTTAGTCTGTGACTTTGTAAACAAAGTGTAAAATTATGAGCCAGGAGGTTAAACAGGCCCCTTTCACATGGGGTGGGCTCCACCTGCAATCTGCTTGCTCAGCGGGGGATCTGTCCATTGATCCCCATTGATCAGGCAGATGACAGGTCCGCGTCAACTCCGCTTATGCAGAGCATACATGGACACAGCCCGTTCTCCTTTATGGGTGGTTGGATGTAAATGGACCGCCTGTCCGTTTACACCTACTGCTCCATAGAAGAGAATGGAGGATCCGATCTGGTCCGCCTGAACAACAAACAGCTGGACACAGCTGGAAACAGCCCGAGTGAAAGGGGCCTTATGTTCAATTTTATTCTCACCCTATGTGAAAAACACTTCAGTTTTCTGGACAAATAAGAGTTAACCTGACAGTTCTGAAACGGACACTTACACCCCCGTCACACTGACCCCACTTTGAAATCGTGCGACTTCCAGTGAAGTCGCAATTCCAATTCCAAAGTCAGATGTTATTAGGTGCGACTTGCAAGACATCTGATGTCTATGCCAGTCGCACCTGAAGTAGTGAGTGTACTATTTTAGAAATCGGTGTGGCTCCAACCAATGTCGGAATCGCACTCATATGACCGCTTTAATTGCAGATAATAGGGTACGACTTGTTGTGATTTGCAACTCGCATGGCATGGAAAAATCACATGGCAAGTCGCACCCAGTGTGACTGGCCACTTATTGAGTAGACTTACTTTTTATGTGCTCATGGCTTAAAGCTGCTACAAAATGCAGAGAGATTTAATGGGGGAAATGAGGCAAATTGCATTATTATGCCGGACTATTCTTAGATGATTGAACCAATGATGCCTGAAAGAGAAGTCAAGCTGGGGCCCACAGCCACCAGTCAGGTTACAGTGACCGGTATCTTTGAGCAACATCTTCGGTGACAAGAATACTAAATTCTTACAGAATAAACACACCTATGATCACCGGTAACTGCCGGTATGCTGCAAGCTTTGGCTGGCACATGTTCTCCACCACCATTCTCTCCATGAAGAACAAATCTTGCTGAAACTTCTCTGATTTTAGGATTACGTCTGCATCAGGCTCATTCTCCTCACTTGCCCAAGAAATGGAAAGCCTGTCCAAATCTGTGATGGTACTCATATCTGAAAAGGCAAAAAAAAAAAATTCTACATCTCCAAAAAGTTACATGGCAGAAAATAAATAGAGCTGAAAAACAAAATCTCATATTCACAAAAATACAATTGTAATGATCAGCCTTGAATCTTTGCCATCTGCTGGTCCTTACTTAGCACTGCAGTTCTCTACTATGAGCACCTGCCCTCATTATTATACTTTAACCTGTTTGTGACAGAGAGTAAAGCAAATGTTAACGCCTGAACTCAATTTTGCAACTTTGGCATGTCTGATTGTAAGACAGTACATATCATTGCAACTACTTTGTGTATCCAGGTGAATTATACCTTGTTTTTTCAAGACCAATTGGGTTTGGTAAATGGGAACAGATATCTTCTGATTTTTTTTTTTTTTATTATCAAAGGAAAACTGGACCAAAATAGTAAATTTAAATTTCTTGCTATTACCATAACTTACCACCAAAGAACAAACAAAAATAAATTCACTTGCTCCTGATGATCACAGCAATATCTAAGGTTGCCACCTCAACTCTTTAAAACCGAACACATATTAATTACACAGGTTCTGTGGCTCATTAAGGCAAGGCTTGAAAAAGCAGCTCGCCTGCTCGCCAAATGCGAGGAGAAATTCCTCTGTGGTGAGCACAGATAAAGCATGGAGCGACTGCACCTGCACTCCAAGCCTCATTGTGAAGCCGAGTTCCGGTTTACAACTTCCGGTTTCCAGCTTCTGCAGCACCGCCGCTGAGGGGACAGGTGCAGGAGAGGTCCGCTCTCCTCCACTGAGAGGAGACACCCTCTCCACCGCCGCAGGGGGACTCGGGGGGGACAGAAAGTACTGTATACAACATGTCCTATCACTATAATGGAGTACAGGGGAGCTGGGATATACATTACTCGGTAATGTATATCCCAGCTCCCCTGTACTCCATTATAGTGATATGACATGTATACAGTAATGTATATCCCCCTCCCCTGTACTCCATTATAGTGATAGGACATGTATACAGTAATGTATATCCCCCCTCCCCTGTACTCCATTATAGTGATAGGACATGTATACAGTAATGTATATCCCCCCTCCCCTGTACTCCATTATAGTGATAGGACATGTATACAGTAATGTATATCCCCCCTCCCCTGTACTCCATTATAGTGATAGGACATGTATACAGTAATGTATATCCCCCCTCCCCTGTACTCCATTATAGTGATATGACATGTATACAGTAATGTATATCCCCCCTCCCCAGTACTCCATTATAGTGATAGGACATGTATACAGTAATGTATATCCCCCTCCCCTGTACTCCATTATAGTGATATGACATGTATACAGTAATGTATATCCCCCCTCCCCTGTACTCCATTATAGTGATATGACATGTATACAGTAATGTATATCCCCCCTCCCCTGTACTCCATTATAGTGATATGGACATGTATATACAGTAATGTATATCCCAGCTCCCTGTACTCCATTATAGTGATGACATGTATACGGTAATGTATATCCCCCCTCCCCTGTACTCCATTATAGTGATGACATGTATACGGTAATGTATATCCCCCCTCCCCTGTACTCCATTATAGTGATGACATGTATACGGTAATGTATATTCCCCCTCCCCTGTACTCCAATATAGTGATATGACGTGTATACAGTAATGTATATCCCAGCTCCCCTGTACTCCATTATAGTGATATGACGTGTATACAGTAATGTATATCCCAGCTCCCCTGTACTCCATTATAGTGATGACATGTATACAGTAATGATTACTATACACATGTCATATCACTATAATGGAGTACAGGGGAGCTGGGATATACATTACTGTGTACAGTTTTATATTTTGGACTATATTTATTCTAAAGAAAAATTTAATTTCATAAGCGTTAAGGGGGCGTGGTTGTGGGCGGGCCAGGGGTGGGGTTTAAGGCGGGCCAGGGGTGGGGTTGGGGGCGGACCTGGGCAAGGTTGGGTGGGGCAACTGGTGGAGAGTAAGTTTTGTGACCGGCTAGTAGGTCTAGACTCGAAATTTGAACCCCTGGATTAAGGTACTAATTAGACTCACTAAGCCTCCGGTCACATCAAGCCCGACTTTGAAATCTTGCGACTTCACTGTAAGTCACACGATTTCAAAGTTGGGTGAACCGCTGATTTCAGGTGCGATTTGCAAGTCATCTGATACAGATGTATATGCAAATCGCACCAAAAGTAGTGTATGTACTACTTTTGAAATCGGTGCGGCTCCGACTAAGTCGGAACCACACCGATATGACAGCTCCAATTGCAGACAATAGGGTGCGACTTGGCATGTGATTTGCAAGTTGCAGAGCATGAAAATCACGTGCCAAATCAGAGCTGATGTGACTGGGGTGTTAGTGCCTTATCTGCTATACATTAGCCTCAGAATCTGTGTAATTAATGTGTTTGGTTGTAAAGGGATGAGTTGGCAACCCTAGCGATACCACATATGTGTAAGTTATTTGTTGTTTGTACCCGTAGTAGGGCCCAGAAACAATAGTGGGCACATTTTTCATCCTACCTAAAACACACTGACACTAGTATAAAAAATGCTTTTTAAAAACAAACAAAAAAAAAGGAAGTACACAAAATATACTGATCCTATGGCCCCGTTCACACAGGGCAGAATACATTTGCTCAGCAAGGGATCTGTACGCCGATCTCCCTCTGAGCGGAGCAGAGTGGGCGAATGACAGGTGCGTGTCCACGCATGCTCAAAGCCTGCTCTGCTGTATGGGCTGTAGGATGTAAACGGACCAGCTGTCCATTCACAATCAAGTGCCCTCCAATCCGATCTGCCCAGATCTTAGCAGATTGGATCTGACTGGAGGCAGTGGGTGTAAACAGACACAAGTCTGTTTACATCTGCCACCCCATAGAGGACAATGGAGGGTCTGATCGGGTTCGCATGAAAAATAAACATGTGGACCTGATTGGACTGATCACACGAAAGGGGGCCTAAGACTAATCTGGATCATATCTTGATCTAAATATTTTTTTTTTTTTTATTTACTTTTAAATTTTTTTTTTTTTACACATTTTTACATGTTTACACCTTTCTGCCCTGCGCAGATAGAAATATTCAATGGAGGTTATTTACTTAAACTGGAGAGTGCATAATCTGGTGCAGCTTTGCAGAGAAACCAATCAGCTTCCAGGCACTATTGTCAAAGGTTAACTGAACAAGCTGAAGTTAGAAGCTGATTGGCTACCATGCACAGCTGCGCCAGATTCTGAAAACACAAGTTTTTTTTTTTTAATCTACCCCAATGTATCTTTCTCTCCATCCAGAGGAGAAAGAAAAACACATGGGCAGAAAGCACAGTGACTGATCACTGTGATAGCCAATCAGAGGCTACCACAACAATCAAGTGACCGGGAAGCGGGAGTCCCAAGTCTGAGACCCGGGGAACCAGTGAGAGCCCAGTCTGTCTGGTGGGAGCACGCTGTGCAGCACACTCCCAGCACAAACACAGATACGCATATATGCGACCCCACAGGATAAAGACCCACTTCAGTGAGGCTGCATATATGCGTACAGTCTGTGCCAAGGGGTTAAAGTGAAGCCAGAATTTAAATCCTGAGCCTGCCTATATTCTGGATAAAGGCATCACACAAAGAGCACAACTAACAATTTATTATTCCTCGAACAAACAAAATTAGTCATTTATTGGAAGCACAGCCTTGTGGTACTAGTAGCGGCTGAGATCCTTTCACTGAGACTAGTAAAAGCTTTGGCTATAACGTACTCGTCATATCCATGGACATCCCAGATACATTTCTTTGGCTCATGCTGGATTTGTTGCTGGCCACACTCTCTGACCGGCTGACTGTCTCCACTGCAGCCTCCACCTGTGATTGGTCTGGTGCAAGAAATGAATCATACAGGTCCCATACTGATGCCATGACACCTACAAATATAGCAAACAAATATAGCAAACAAGTATCATTAGTTTAAAATGTTTTAACATTAATAAAAGCACAATAAAGCAAAATTTCTGTCTTTTCTCTAACTTTTTTGATCCGCATATTTATCAAAAAAATCCAAAGCCAGGCATAGGATAACAGCTAAGCAACTAGAATTTTCGAAAAGAGGTTAGCAAGAGTTGACCCCAAGTTTTGCTTAAAAAAGATTTCTGTAACTTATCCAATATCTGCCATCATGCTTGACAAAAAAAAAAACCACAGTAGTACATTATTTTTAGCTTTGGCTGAATTTTATGTGAACCTGTATTTGTCCAGGGAAAGAAAACAGGTTCTCTTCTGCAGCTGCTCATAGTTACCTTTCCTTTGCTCCCTCACTGTTCCATTCACCTGAGGATGCAAAGCAACATACTTGGTACTTTTGGGTGCATGTAATTCATTCTCTTTTATTCCATGTAACAGCCTTGGTGCTCGGCGCCACATGAGGACAGGGAGCTTTATGTAAGCTCTGAAGAACTTAAAGCTTTTTTTTTTTTTTTTCTAATCCTAGTACAGTAGTTTGGTTTTTCATGGCAGAAGAGATTCACCAAAACTGGTTCACACAGAATCAGGTGCAGCTGTGCATAGAAACCAATCAGCTTCCAGGTTTTATTGTCAAAGTTTAATTGAACAAGCTGAAATTAGAAGCTGATTGACCCTAGGTTCACACCTATGTGGCCGTGCGGGCCGCGTTTTGCTTGGACACGAGAGCCCATTCATTTGAATGGACTCCCGTGCCTGTGACATGCAGGGATAGAAGTCCCTGCACTACTTCGGAAAACGCAGCCCGCAAGGGAACCTCGGTTCCCAGTACTGTTGCGTTTCCCAGTGCGGTTGGCATGCCTGTGAACCGGGAGTGATACTTTTCATTGAGTGCTCCAGTTCTAGCAAACCTCCCCCATAATGTCTTCCCTTCAAAGAAGTTAGTACTTTTCTTGCTGCCCACCTTCAATCTCCAATGTAATAAAGAAAAATAATTTTCCAAAATTTCTTCAGAATGTGGCACTTCCAGAGATGTCAGATTTCTAGTCCCTCACTGCGCTCTGTGGTTCCTCCCACTAGCCCCCATTGTCATTACAGGGCACAGTACTGATGTAGCGGCTGGTGGATCGAACCAAAGACTTAAAGGATAAGTCCACCTTTCACAACGTGTTACACCCATATTCAGGGTATAACATGTAACATTTTACGAAGAGAACGTCCACTGCAGCGTGGGACCGGACCGGAGTGGCTGCAGAACAGGCAGGTATAGAGATTTGTTCCTTAGAGGGCTAAATAGACTAGGCTTAGAATATGGCAGAGAGAAGGTTGACCCTAGGTTCACACCTATGCGGCCGTGCGGGCACTACTTTTGAAAACGCAGCCCGCAAGGGAACCTCGTTCCCAGTACGGCTGCATTTGCCAGTGCGGTTGGCATGCCATTAGAACTAATGGCACCCGTCTGCGGGTCTGCAATTCTCTGTGCGGGTGGTGCGGTTGCATGGATTTTCATGCGGACCCGCAGCAGCACCACCCGCATAGATGTCAACCGGGGGTGATACCTTTCATTGAGTGCTCCAGTTTTAGCAAATCTCCCCCATAATGTCTTCCCTTCAAAGAAGTTAATACTTTTCTTCCTGCCCACCTTCAATCTCCAATGTAATAAAGAGAAATAATTTTCCAAAATTTCTTCAGAATGTGACACTTTCACAGCTGTCAGATTTCTAGGCCCTCACTGCGCTCTGTGGTTCCTCCCACTTGCCTCCATTGTCATTACAGGGCACAGTACTGATGTAGCGGCTGGTGGATCGAACCAAAGACTTAAAGGATAAGTCCACCTTTCACAACATGTTACACTCATATTCAGGGTATAACATGTAAACGTTTACGAAGAGAACGTCCCCCGCAGTGTGGGACTGGACCGGAGTGGCTGCAGAACAGGCAAGTATAACAATTTGTTCCTTAGAGGGCTAAATAGACTAAGCTTAGAATATGGCAGAGAGAAGGTTGACCCCCGGTTCACACCTATGCGGTTTCGAGGGCCACGTTTTGCACGGGCACGAGAGCCCATTCATTTGAATGGACTCCTGTGCCCGTGACACGCAGGGAAAGAAGTCCCTGCACTACTTTGGAAAACGGAGCCCACACAGGAACCTCGGTTCCCAGTACGGTTGCGTTTCCTAGTGCGGGCAGCGCGCCATTAGAACTAATAGCACCCACCCGCGGGTCCGCAATTCTCTGTGCGGGTTGTGTGGCTGCACGGATTTTCCCCCGCATAGATGTGAACCAGGGGTCAGGGTTAGGTTTTGACTATTTTCCCACTTTAATCAGAGGACCAGAAATCCAACACTTCCAGAAATGTCAGATTCTGAATATTCTTCAAGCTGTGGTTTGTCTTCTTTTCCTTTGCAGGAAGGATATGATTTACATATTTATTATACCAACAGATTTGCTTTAAGCCATGATATTTCTATATATTTCTAGTCTTTAAATTCCCTTTCAGAATATGAATAATGCAATCTATATGCATATCATCTAGTTTATTTTCACAAGTCTGATATAAGCAGACCCGTACCTGCATCTTGGTGGACAATGCTGTCACACTGAACCTCTTTACACTTCGGTGCCTCATTAAACGTTTGCATGGTTCTCTCTACATAGCGATCGTTGCCCGCTCTGCTTTTGCAGAGCTCAGTGTAGGTCTGGTTCCGTGCGCTAAAATATATACAAAGAAATGTCACCTACATGATAGTTCAAAGACCTGAATCTCAAAATATACAGTTTTAATACAATTGCATTCATGGTTCTGTAGTACAGTCTTTCAATGTACTAACCATAGATCATTGCAGAGTATTTTGAGTAATGCCTTTTATTAGCTAGCTCAAGTTTTTAAAGATGCAAGCTTTCGATACCCCTTAGATATCTAGTATCAAACCTGTGGCCCTCTGGTGCTTGCCATGTGGCCCTTGGACCCAAGCAGTGGAGGGGATGTAATGGTAGTGATATTTGGCATGGGTCTCATGTCAAAAAAGCCTATTACCAGGGGCATCCAGTCTTTGAATGTCCCCCACAGCATGTCTCCTCATGTAACATAACATCTGTAGCATTTCCATAGTTTTCTCTCTCTTCTATCTAGTATTTAAGAAGTTTCTGAAAATGTTCAGTAATATACTGTATATTAAATATTATATCTGGCTCTTTGGTGATGATGGAAGCTAAAAGTGAGCGCCCCCCCCCCCCCCCAAATATTTTAAAGGATAAGTTCACCTTTGGGAGCATGTTACATGTTACACCCATATTTAGCGTTTAACATGTACCATGCTTTTGCAGTGATATTGAGGATATGGGTCTTTGTGTTTCTATTGATGCACACAGTGTAGAGAGACACAATTCTAGTCCCTGCATGCAAGGGTGACTCCACAAGATGCTGCAAGAGAAAGGGGCCACCCTAAAATAGGAAGCCTGGGGCAGCAGCTATGGCACCAGCTTAAACTGGAACCTTTAGGTTTAAAAGAGAAAGCAGCTGCATACTCAGTAAGGGATTTATCCTATAAAAGGTTTAATATCATTTCAATACCTCAATACCTTGAGTAAGCCAATGAAAGGTATCATTTAAAACTACCAACTTGTTGCAGGATGGAACCTGAAATTAAAGTGAAGATAACCTGGGGGGAGGGGACTTACTAAAACTGGAGCAATCAGAATCTGGTTCAGTTGTGTATGGTAGCCAATCAGCTTCTAACTTTATCAGTTAAACTCTGGCAATAAAACCTGGAAGCTGATTGGTTTCTATGCAGAGCTGCACCAGATTTTGCACTCTCCAGCTTTAGTAAATAACCCCTTTGATGTGTCCAAAGATATGCGACATTGTCAGTGACAGTGCCTCAACTCCATGATTGCACAAAAAAACAAAAATCTAACTAGTTGTAGCTAGCTTGTGCATTCATGCACAAAAAAAAACAACAACAAACCCCCCCCCCCCCCCCCCACAGAAGCCAAGATGGCATCTTTCTTGGCTAAAATGGATAGGAGGGTTTAGTGCTGCTTTAATGTTGATTGAGAGTTTTTAATTCACTTTAACCTCCCTAGCGGTCTGATTATGTCCATATTTCTGTGCTCAAAGCGGTAATTTTTTTGCATGGAAATATGTATTTTTTATTGTAGGCCTGTAATTTTTAGGAAAAACTCACTGAAATCTGTCTGAACAAGAGTCTAGTAAACATCCCGGGTATGATAAAACTTGAAACACGAAATCATAAATTATAATTTAATAAACAATCATAAAAAAATAATAATATAATAATACATTTAATTCAATAATATAATCAAACCAAAAACACTGAAATTTGAAATATAGCGCCAAGTTCGCACATTGCTGAGCAAAGTCGCAGAATCGTTTTCAGTGTCTGATGACTAATTTCCCCCACGAATCATTATCACTCAATTCTGCAAGTGGTTCTGATTTACTATCGCTGTTCTCTAGCCAGTCTAAAACCGATTTTGACCTAAAGGGATGCTTTTTGGACGCCATGGACGTTTCTCAGTTTCCAGGCAGAAAGAACGATAAAAATGCAGGCAGGGCGCAGGACAAAGCACTCAGGACAAAATGTATGTGAAATGGTTTGATACAGTAATGTTTTACTATGTGATTTTAGTGAATGTCACTTTTTGTCATTTTCAAACTTCCCGCCGTTCCGTCCCCCGTACGTCCCGACGCTCACAGGGGACAGAAACCAGATGACAGATGCCGGCATCTGCCGGATTACATTACAGGGGACACTGCAGGAGGGACATCGCGGGAGCGCAGGACAAGGTAAGTGATCGAGGGATCGTGGAGCAACGCTGCAGAGTATTCCCGAGTGTAGCTCGGGGTTACCGCTTGTGGTACTGAAATTTTACCCTGAGCTACACTCGGGAATACCGCCAGGGAGGTTAAGAAGCTCTATATAATGGAGTTTGCATGCTCTCCTTGTGCTTGCATGGGTTTCCTCCACAACCTCCGGTTTCCTCTCACACTCCAAAGATATGCTGGTTCATAGATTCATTAGCAAGTTAGCTCCTGTCTACATTGGCCCTAGTATGTGTATACATACGAAGTAGAGACCTCAGAGTGCAGGGACTGATTTTGTACAGTATCTGTAAACTGTCAGCGTTATATAAATATGACTGTAGTCATTTTTTACATGTAGTGTATTGTAAATTCTCATACTTGACTATTTCAGCTTCCTCAGAATCGGCAGCGATCACAGCCACAGGCATGTCTAGCAGCCATATTGTCTCGGTCTCCGTCAGGTACACATTGACCGTCTTATCCAAATCTTCCTCCTTTGGCTGTTCTCTGATCTCTTCTTCCCTCGTATAAGATTCTGTGAATTAAATAAAAATGTGGGTTTTATTTCTGCTATGCCCCAATTGTCCTTCAAAACATAGATATTTCTCCTTCCCAGAACCTTTCGGTGAACTACAAAGCTCAGAATTAATTGTATGTTTTACAACATACAATAGGATCCCATTTATGTACATGTCAACAGCAGCCCATAGATTATGCAATTTTCTTTCCTTCCACCACCCCAAGTTCCTGTGTCCCTCCATATTCTGTGCCTCCTCTGTGAACTCTAGCTGCACCCCATGCCTCCAGGCTCCAGGGACCCTAGTATCTTCAGTGACCCTGAGCACCTTGGTCTCCAGTGACTCCTATGTCTCTTATGATCCCAATGTCTCCTGTGACCCCAGCGTCCTCAGTCACTCCTGTGCATCTGTGTCTCTAGGGACCCCAGTGCACTTGGGTCTCCAGTGACTCCTGCTCCTCTAGTGACTCCAGTGATTCCAGGATTTCTTGTGACCCCAGCATCCTCAGTGACTCCTGTGTTTCTGTGTCTCCAGTGACCCCAGTGCTCCTGGATCTCCAGTGATTCATGTGTCTCTTGTGATCCCAGCATCCTCAGTGACTTCTGTGTCTCCAGTGACCCCAATGCTCCTGGATCTCCAGTGATTCATGTGTCTCTAATGATCCCTGCATCCTCAGTGACTCCTGTGCTTCTGTGTCTCCAGTGACCCCAGTGCTCCTGGATCTCTAATGATTCATGTGTCTCTTGTGATCCCAGCATCCTCAGTGACTCCTGTGCTTCTGTGTCTCTAGTGACCCCAGTGTTCCTGAATCTCCAGTGATTCATGTGTCTCTTGTGATCCCAGCATCCTCAGTGACTCCTGTGCTTCTGTGTCTCTAGTGACCCCAGTGTTCCTGAATCTCCAGTGATTCATGTGTCTCTTGTGATCCCAGCATCCTCAGTGACTCCTGTGCTTCTGTGTCTCTAGTGACCCCAGTGCTCCTGAATCTCCAGTGATTCATGTGTCTCTTGTGATCCCAGCATCCTCAGTGGCTTCTGTGTCTCCAGTGACCCCAGTGCTCCTGGATCTCCAGTGATTCATGTGTCTCTTGTGATCCCAGCATCCTCAGTGGCTTCTGTGTCTCCAGTGACCCCAGTGCTCCTGGATCTCCAGTGACTCCTATGTCTCCAGTGACCCCAACATCTTCAGTGACCCCTGAGCCCTAGTATCTCCTGAGACCTGAGTGTCTCCTGAGACCCCCACCATCTTCAGTGCCTCCTCTGTCTCCAGTGAATTCAGCACTCCTGTGTCTCCAGTAATTATTGTGCTTTAGTGTTTCCAGTGACCCCAGCGTCTCCAGTAACTCCTGCACTCCTGTGTCTCCAGGGAACCAAGAGTTCTCAGTGACCCTAATGCAGATATGGTACCATAAAACAATTCTTTTTTCATAGAGTGGGGAAGGGTTAGGCTCATGGTCAGGTTTTTATTTCACGAAGATATATGGAAAGGAGCGCCAGACTAAAATTGGACAAAAGAGTCCAAGAAAATTTAAATTGTTGATAAAATAAAAGTAATGTAAAAACATCCAACGCATTTCAGGGGCAACACCGCTACCCCTTCATCAGGACTCAACACAGGATGAAATTTGGATGGACCCAGAGAAAATGGTGACTTCACAGATCTATATTAGGATCAGTATTGAACTCTGGAGGAAGAACCTGACAGCAGTTGCTGAGAAGCAGCGTAGCTCCGCGGCTGCTAAGGTCTAATTTGGGGTACGCACAATAAGTCTTTTTTTTCATTTAACCTAAGAGGCTGAACATAAAAACAAAAATTGAGGTCGATGCACTAACTAAGCAATGTCTCCTCCGCTGAACTATTGTGTCCTAACCAGGGGCGGACTGACAACTCATGGGGCTCCCGGGCAATAAGGGATCATGGGGCCCCTCTATCTTTGCCCAAACTCAAAAAAGCCTATGAAAAAAGGTACCAGGGGCATCTCATGGGGACCCCTACTGACCCCGGGCCCTCGGGCAGTGCCCGAGTTTCCAAATGGTCAGTCCACCCCTGGTCCTAACAGAGTACCTACCACCCCCACCCCCCGCCAAAACACACACTGATCAGTGCTCACAGCCATTGGCTGCCAGTGCTGATCGGATGCTGGTTTTCAACAGAACAAGCTTTCCTGTGGCAGCATGTAGCAGTTAGAGGGCTGAACTGAAACCATTTACCACTAATAGGCATGCATACAATGATCAGCTTTTATTTATGTAAAACTTATTCCAAAAGGAACAAAACTGTTGCTGTAATTGCTTAGAAAGTGTTAGCTGGAGTTTGGATATAATTTGTAAGTGAAGCTAAATCTGCTAACACTCCCTTTCCCCTAGACTGATAATGCTGCTGTTCAAAGGTGCCCCCTGTGCTCCTTCATCCAGAGTGTCGGCACGATAATACAGGAGGTGTGTTACTGACAAGATCATTAGGTGAAAACAGAGGGGAAAAAATACCGAAAGGAAAACTAATGCAGCCACCACATCTATTGTTTGTTAAACTGTAATATATTACATTTTTGGGTCTATTACTGCTTTAATTTTAGCGTATTTTGTAACTGAAAATGTAGGTCTGATAAGCAGTTGTGCAAATATCTTGCAACCTAAAATTTTGAAATACCATGTTTATTCTACAGGCCTACTGTTTCTGAAAAAAATATATAATGTTTTAGGGGGTTAAGTAATCTATGGGTTAAAAACTGTGTCCTTCTAATGTGTGTGCAAAAAATGAATTAATCGCTCCAGCAACGAATGGGTTAAATGTTTGTGGCGCCTCCACCACTAAAAGCTGTAAGTGCATACTATTAGGCTACTTTCACACTGATCCATAGCAAAAATGTATATGTGTTTTTACCATGTTTTTGTTGCGTTTTTACCGCATTTGCAGTTGCAGTTTTAACATATGATTAAAAAACCGCATTATAGATGCATCGCGGGTACGTGTTTGTTGCGTTTTTGCCACGTTTTCCACTGATGTCAACGGGGAGGTGCATTTTTTGGTGCAGCAATGGATCAATGTGAAATGTTCCATAGGAATACATGTTTTCATTCCACATTTTTTATTGCAAAAGTAAAAGCAAAACGGATCAGTGTGAAAGCAGCCTTAAAGGTGGCTTTACCAGTCAAGCTGTGTCCTCTGTCACGTCCAAGTACTGGTTCTTCTGTATATTCTGATAACGATTCCGTCTCATGACTGGACATGGACATACTGCTGCCCCCAAACGTTGACCTGTTCAAAAGTGACCAGATATGTTTTTTTTAATTTCATTCCTATACAGCATAACCCGCTATAAGCATCACTTAAAGCCGAACTCCTGGCAGACAGCTCAATGGACAGATTAAATACATATAAAGGGAGCAGTTTTACTTGTCAAAGCTTTGGTATTTCTGTTCATCCATTTCTGAGATTTACACAGCTCTGCCGCACAGCTCAGCCCTGTCTCGCAGGGGCCTTAGGCCCCTTTCACAAACATTTCTGCTCACAGATCTCCTGCAGATCAGGGAAGAGCGAGCCGATGACACGTCCATGTCCGTTCAGTTTATGGACAGTGGACACGGACAGACCCCGCCCTGCTCTATGGGCAAATAGGAGTAAATGCACACTGCTGTCTGCTTGACCCTGACAACCCTCCGATCCACTTAAATGGAAGGGGACATATCCCCTTCTGTTTTATTTTTAGCGGGCCAGGACCAAGAGGCAGGTGGATGTAAATGGACCCAAGTCTATTTACATGTGCCTGTCTATTGAGATGAATGGACCAACCGATAAAGTCTGAAAAACTGACAGGTGGATCTGAACAGAACCGCCATATGAAAGTGGCCTTACAGTTCTAGACCCTCCCCCACTCTGTGATGGGACAATGACAAAAGAAGCGGTAGACTGATGAGCTCATCTCTGTCATGCTTGCTCTCTACTTCTATCAGCTTGCGCTTTGAACTTCAGCACAACGGACTGGCTCCTTGGACTGCTTCTCCAACTCTTGGTCTGAGCTCTACTGTACATAAAGCCAGATACTAAGTCAAAATCAGGTGCTTCCACTGCTTACAAAAAAAAAAAAAAAAAACACTTTTAAAGTGGTTGCAAATCCCATACATGAAATATGAACAAAGCATATCCCTCTAAAGGATGTGTGTTTGTCTCAATCTAGAGTACAAAGTGTCATTTCTGTCTGCTGCCTCTTTCCTATGCTATAATCATGAATCACATCTGACAAGTTTTCCTTACACCAAGAGAAAAATGGTGACAGGGGAGGGCAGAGTCAAGGCCGGAACAAGGGGGGCGAAAGCTGCGGCTGTCCTGGGCGCAATGGTTTGCTGTAGGGATGGGGTGCCATCCTTGTGTTATAAGGGACAAGAGTAGTGACAGTGATTTTGACAAGCAAAAGACTTCTGGGCGTAGCATCAGGGGCATATTTAATACAAGGCAAACAAGGCATTTGCCTAGGGTGGCATTTTTTAGGGGGCAAGCACTGCCACCTGGAAGAAGGGAAATATGTGACATGGGAACCTGGTGGGATCTGGGAGAGGCTGTGGGCTGCTTGATGGTGTATGCAGAGCCTGATTGTTGTTGCCGGGGATGTCCAGGTGAGTGTCTCTCTGTCACCGGGGGGAGTTGGGGTGTTAATGGAAGGCTCTCTCGGGTGTAGGTGTGGGGGGCAGGGGTTTTGTTGGTCACTGTCAGGCTCTATCCATGGGGTGAGCTGGTGTTGGTCGGTGTCGGGCTCTCTCGGCTGGGGAGGGAAAGGGCGTCCGATTTTTGTGTTGTCTAAAACCTAAATACACCACTGCGTAGGCTACCCGAAGTTTGAATATCATGAACTAAGGAGGGGGGCGCAGTTTGGCATCTTTGCCTTGGGCGCTGGATAACCTTGTCCTGGCACTGGGCACATCTTGCGATTGACAGCCTCAGCTCTGTTCCTGTGTGAAGTGGGGTGTGTCCTTCCAATCAGCGCTCAGAGCTCCCCTCACTAATATAACTTCAGCTCCCCGCCCCCTGCTTTTCAGAGCTGAGAGATCCTGTGTAAATTCTGCACTTTGAATAGATGTAAGAGAAAGACAGCCGTAGATAAACAGGTACAACTTATGTAGGAGGATTTGTTTCTTGTCTGCGTATCACTTCACTGGGTATACAGTATGTGAGGGTTTACAACCTCTTTAAGGATGTATGAATATATGGGCAGCACAGTGGCTAAATGGTTAGCACTTCCTCCTGGCAGTACTCAGGGGGTCGTAGGTTCGAAACACGGCACCACTTGCCTGGAGTTTGCATGTTCTCCCTGTGCCTGTGTGGGTTTCCTCCGAGTACTCCGGTTTCCTCCTACACTCCAAAGACATGCTGCTAGGTGAATTTGATCCTGTCTAAATTGTCCCTAGTATGTGTATGTATGAATGTGAGTTAGGGACCTTAGATTGTACACCCCTTGAGGGTTAGGGACTGATGTGAATGTACAATATATATGTAAAGTGCTGCGTAAATTGATGGCGCTATATAAGTACCTGAAATAAATATATAAATACAGAGCTGCATCAATTTCTGCATATTATATCTCCCTGGAGTTCTGCTTTAATAAACTTGGCTAATATATTTATATCCTTCTTTAACAAGGTTTATGTGCGCACATTTGTGCAGCGTCTGTTCTCTGCTTTGAAGTTTTTTTCCCTGGTACTGGCACCATATGCTCATCTTAATAGATAAACTCCACTTTTAGAAAGAAAGAAAAACGTTCTTCTCTTGGCTAATTACAGAGATTGCAGGGATTTAGTAAACTTAACTGATGATACTTTTCTTACCTGATTTTGTCTTGTACAAAAAAATGAGGCAGGCCAATGCAGTACCTCCCTCAAAATGAACCTAAAGCAGCCTGTACAGTCATCTTTTTTTTTTTTTGTACAACCAGCAGGTTGAAAAAAAAAAAAAAAAAGGATCTGATTCTGCCATCCACACATTCGATTGGGTAATCCTTTTGCTGTGCTATTGCGTTCTGGCAGTGGGGAGCCTTCCCTACCATCAGAACCTTAGATTGTATACCCCTTGAGGGTTAGGGACTGATGTGAATGTACAATATATATGTGTAAAGCGCTGGGTAAATTGACGGCGCTATATAAGTACCTGTGGAATAACGTCCTTACAGGATGTCTTCAACTTACAAGCCGACCTCAATGCTATGTGTAATTGGGCAACTATGTGGCAAATGAGGTGTAATGTTGATAAACGTAAGGTTCTGCACTTGGGGGCTAAGAATATGCATGTATCATATCAGGGGCGGACTGACCATTGGAGAACTCGGGCACTGCCCGAGGGCCCGGGGTCAGTAGGGGGCCCCATGAGATGTCCCTGGTACCTTTCATAGGCTTTTTTGGGTGTGGTTTGAGTGTGGGCGAGGACACAGGGGCCCCATGATCCCCTATTGCCCGGGGGCCCCATGAGTTGTCAGTCCGCCCCTGTATCATATATACTAGGGGGGTACAATGGTGGAGAAGGATCTGGGGAGGTCAATGGTGGAGAAGGATCTGGGGGGGTCAATGGTGGAGAAGGATCTGGGGGGGTCAATGGTGGAAAAGGATCTGGGGGGGGGTCAATGGTGGAGAAGGATCTGGGGGGGGTCAATGGTGGAGAAGGATCTGGGAGTTCTGGTAGATCACAAGCTCAATAATGACATGTAATGCCAAGCTGTGGGATCTGAAGCGAGCAAAATCTTCTCTTGTATTAAAAGAGGTATAGACTCCAGAGAGAGAGATATCATTCCCCCGGTACAAATCATTAGTAACACCTCATCTGGAATATGAATTTCAGTTTTGGGCTCCAATACACAAAAAGAACATTGGGGAACTGGAGATAGTACAGAGAAGGTCAACCAAACTGATAAGAGGCATGGAGGAGATCAGCTATGAGGAAAGATTAGAGGAACTGAATTTATTCTCTCTTGAGGAGATTAAGGGGGGATATGATCACCATGTATAATAGGTAAGGGGGGATATGATCTCCATGTATAATAGGTAAGGGGGGATATGATCACCATGTATAATACATAAGGGGGGTATGATCTCCATGTATAATAGGTAAGGGGGGATATGATCTCCATGTATAATACATAAGGGGGGTATGATCTCCATGTATAATAGGTAAGGGGGGATATGATCTCCATGTATAATACATAAGAGGGGGATATGATCTCCATGTATAATACATAAGGGGGGATATGATCATCATGTATAATACATAAGGGGGGATATGATCTCCATGTATAATACATAAGGGGGGGATATGATCTCCATGTATAATACATAAGGGGGGATATGATCTCCATGTATAATACATAAGGGGGGATATGATCTCCATGTATAACACATAAGGAGGGGATATGATCTCCATGTATAATACATAAGGGGGGATATGATCTCCATGTATAATACATAAGGGGGATATGATCACCATGTATAATACATAAAGGGGGGGGGATATGATCTCCATGTATAATACATAAGGGGGGATATGATCTCCATGTATAACACATAAGGAGGGGATATGATCTCCATGTATAATACATAAGGGGGATATGATCTCCATGTATAATACATAAGGGGGGGATATGATCATCATGTATAATACATAAGGGGGGGATATGATCTCCATGTATAATAAGGGGGGATATGATCTCCATGTATAATACATAAGGGGGGATATGATCACCATGTATAATACATAAGGGGGGATATGATCATCATGTATAATACATAAGGGGGGGATATGATCTCCATGTATAATAAGGGGGGATATGATCTCCATGTATAATACATAAGGGGGGATATGATCTCCATGTATAATACATAAGGGGGGATATGATCTCCATGTATAATACATAAGGGGGGATATGATCTCCATGTATAATACATAAGGGGGGATATGATCACCATGTATAATACATAAGGGGGGATATGATCACCATGTATAATACATAAGGGGGGATATGATCTCCATGTATAATACATGAGGGGGGATATGATCTCCATGTATAATACATGAGGGGGATATGATCTCCATGTATAATACATAAGGGGGATATGATCTCCATGTATAATACATAAGGGGGGCTATGATATCCATGTATAATACATAAGGGGGGATATGATCACCATGTATAAAGAAATGTAATCTCCAAACACGGAAAGGTTTCTTCACAGTAAGAGCTGTGAAAATGTGGAATAGACTCCCTCAAGAGTTGGTTCTGGCCAACTCAGTGGATTGCTTCAAAAAAGTCCTGGATTCTTTCTTGGATACACAGAATATAACTGGTTACTATCATTTATAGGTAAAGTTGATCTAGGGAATATCCAATTGCGTCTCGGGGGATCAGGAAGGATTTTTTTTCCCTGCAGGAGCAAATTGGATCGTGCTTTGCTGGTTTTTTTTTTCCTTCCTCTGGATCAACTGTGAGTGTAGGATTATAACTTTTTTTTTTTTTTAATGGTTGAACTGGATGGAGTTTTGTCTTTTTCAGCCAGACTAACTATGTAATAAAATAAATCAGAGTACAATGATCATTGCTGCAGGCTATGATCAGCGGCACTGATTAACTGAAAAAAAAAAAAAAACCACTACAGGCTGGCTGCATAGAAGTCAATTGGTAGATCAACAGTGTGAAATAGGGGACCCGCATGAATGTCATATTGAGACAGCTGGCTGTGTCCATGCACCTAGTGTGTCCCAACAGACATGAATAGGAATGCCTACACAGGGATGCCTGGAACACCTGTGCAACCCCAAGTGGGTAGACATGGCCCTACACAGGCGTACAGTGTTGTATACAAGGTCAAACAGTTTAGCTTTTTTCAATTTTTTTTAGTGACTGAGCTTGATATGATCACCATGTATAATAGGTAAGGGGGGATATGATCTCCATGTATAATACATAAGGGGGGGATATGATCTCCATGTATAATACATAAGGGGGGATATGATCTCCATGTATAATACATAAGGGGGGATATGATCTCCATGTATAACACATAAGGAGGGGATATGATCTCCATGTATAATACATAAGGGGGGATATGATCTCCATGTATAATACATAAGGGGGATATGATCACCATGTATAATACATAAGGGGGGGATATGATCTCCATGTATAATACATAAGGGGGGATATGATCTCCATGTATAACACATAAGGAGGGGATATGATCTCCATGTATAATACATAAGGGGGATATGATCTCCATGTATAATACATAAGGGGGGGATATGATCATCATGTATAATACATAAGGGGGGGATATGATCTCCATGTATAATAAGGGGGGATATGATCTCCATGTATAATACATAAGGGGGGATATGATCACCATGTATAATACATAAGGGGGGATATGATCATCATGTATAATACATAAGGGGGGGATATGATCTCCATGTATAATAAGGGGGGATATGATCTCCATGTATAATACATAAGGGGGGATATGATCTCCATGTATAATACATAAGGGGGGATATGATCTCCATGTATAATACATAAGGGGGGATATGATCTCCATGTATAATACATAAGGGGGGATATGATCACCATGTATAATACATAAGGGGGGATATGATCACCATGTATAATACATAAGGGGGGATATGATCTCCATGTATAATACATGAGGGGGGATATGATCTCCATGTATAATACATGAGGGGGGATATGATCTCCATGTATAATACATAAGGGGGATATGATCTCCATGTATAATACATAAGGGGGGCTATGATATCCATGTATAATACATAAGGGGGGATATGATCACCATGTATAAAGAAATGTAATCTCCAAACACGGAAAGGTTTCTTCACAGTAAGAGCTGTGAAAATGTGGAATAGACTCCCTCAAGAGTTGGTTCTGGCCAACTCAGTGGATTGCTTCAAAAAAGTCCTGGATTCTTTCTTGGATACACAGAATATAACTGGTTACTATCATTTATAGGTAAAGTTGATCTAGGGAATATCCAATTGCGTCTCGGGGGATCAGGAAGGATTTTTTTTCCCTGCAGGAGCAAATTGGATCGTGCTTTGCTGGGTTTTTTTTTTCCTTCCTCTGGATCAACTGTGAGTGTAGGATTATAACTTTTTTTTTTTTTAATGGTTGAACTGGATGGAGTTTTGTCTTTTTCAGCCAGACTAACTATGTAATAAAATAAATCAGAGTACAATGATCATTGCTGCAGGCTATGATCAGCGGCACTGATTAACTGAAAAAAAAAAAAAAAACACTACAGGCTGGCTGCATAGAAGTCAATTGGTAGATCAACAGTGTGAAATAGGGGACCCGCATGAATGTCATATTGAGACAGCTGGCTGTGTCCATGCACCTAGTGTGTCCCAACAGACATGAATAGGAATGCCTACACAGGGATGCCTGGAACACCTGTGCAACCCCAAGTGGGTAGACATGGCCCTACACAGGCGTACAGTGTTGTATACAAGGTCAAACAGTTTAGCTTTTTTCAATTTTTTTTAGTGACTGAGCTGCTTTACATACGCAATAAAAAACATCTATAGCACCTTGAAAATGGTCCAACGAAACTGGAGATAAATCCCGTCTGCTGGAGAGACATGGTGGAGAAGATATCGGATGCGGTTACACCAGAAGCATCTGGCGTAGTAAATAGTTTGCTTTGCTTGGTGGTGGTGGTGCCAGGCTCTGCTTGGAATAGTGACCGAGGAGTGACATCATTGCCTTCTTCATCGAAAACCTGAGAAAATAAAATAAAAACAAAGTTGTTGTAGCCTTAAAGCAGTATTAAAGTGGATGTAAAGGCTCAAGGTTTTTTTTACCTTCATGCATTCTCTGCCTGAAGGTAAAAAAACGTCTGTGTCCAGCATCCCCCCCCCCCCCCCCCAGCCCCCTCAATACTAACCCGAGCCCCATCGCGATCCATTGATGTGCAAGACAGCCTCGGCTGTCCCGGATTTTTGCCTCCTCATTGGCTGAGACACTGGCTTATGTCATTCACAGCAAGTCAGCCAATGAAGAGAGAGGGGGCAGGGCCAAGTCACGCCTTCATGTGTGAATGGACACATGGAGAAGCGGGTGCCCCAATAGCAAGCTGCTTGATGTGGGGGTACCCGACAGAAAGGAGGAGCCAGGAGAGCCTGCGGGGGACCTGAGGAGAGGAGGATCCAGGCTGCTCTGTGACATACCACTACTACACACAGCAGGTAAGCATGACATGTTTGTTATTTTACTAATTAATTAATTTAGAACACTTTAAACCCAAAAGCAAACATTATATTGCAGCTTATCAATTCATAGATGTGGTGGCTGCATTAGTTTTCTTTTTTAGTCTCTCCTTTATTTTCATCTGGTGATCTGTTCTGCAAATGTAGCAGTTACAGGGTTGAGACAAACCATTAAACACTGACAGAGGCGCTTGCAATGATCAGCTTTTATTTACAGTGCTGTACAAAAGTATTTGCCCTCTTCCTGAGTTTTTTTTTTTTTTTTTTTTTTTTTTTGCATATTTGTCACATTTAAATGATTCAGATCATCAAATAAATTTTTATATTACACAGAGATAACCCAAGTAAAAACAAAATGCAGTTTTTAAATGATTTTATTTATTAAACCACTTCCTGTCTGGCCCATGTACTTAAACGGCTGGACGGGAGCAGTGCAAGGGCGGGTGGCCGTTTATAAATGTCCTCCCTGCTGGTGCGCGCTCCCTGAAAGCGCACAGCACCGCAATCCGGTGCCCACTGTGTCCGGATTATGTGATCACTGATTGTGAGGTGCCGATCATGTGATCACCGATTGGCCAATCAGTGATCACATGAAGAGTAGTAAGCAAGATGTCACTTCTGACATCATTGCTTACTACATGTGAAATCTGTGAATGATCACAGAGGTCACATGGTACAAGGCTATTTACAATAGCCTTGTACCATGTGACAAGCTGTGACCAATCACAGCTCACACAGTATTTCTCATTGGCTGCAAGAATGCAGTCAGAGAGAAGGAGAAATGATTGCTTTTACAGCCTTTAAGTGTAAAAGCAATCAGTGTAAAAAAAGGAAAAAAAAATTTTCATCACCCCCCACAAGTAGTACAGTGTCACTATGGTGACAATGTACTGCTAGGGTGACAGTATGTTAAAAAAAAAACCATAAATAATAAAAAAATAAAATAAAAATGTCAAAAAAATTTAGAAAAATTATAATTTTTGGTTATAAACTAATTTGGGTTATTTTTTTCTACTAAAAAGATAACTGAATACGTTTTGGCCAAGATTTATGAAGAAAGATTATTTATTTGCAATATTTTATAAGAAAAATACTTTTTTTCAAAATTTGGACTTTTTCATTTTTATAGCAAAAAAAAATAAAAATCCCAGTGGTAAATAAATACCACCAAAATAAAGTTTTATCTGTCTAAAAAAAAAATGCTAAAAAAAAAACTAATATGGGCACAGTGTTGCATGACCGTGCAATTGTCATTCAAAGTGTGATAGCACTGAAAGCTGAAAATTGGCCTGGACAGGAAGGGGGGGAAAGTGTCTGGACTTGAAGTGGTTAAGGGAAAAAAGCTGTTCAAACATGCCTGGCCCTATGTGAAAAAGTAATTGCCCCATAAACCTAATAACTGGTTCTGCCACCCTTGGCGGCAACAACTGAAACCAAGCATTTGCGATAACTGGCAATAAGTCTTTCACATCGCTGTGGATTCATTTTGGCCCATTCTTTTTTGCAAAATTGTTTTAATTCAGCCACACTGGGGGATTTTTGAGCATGAACAGCCTGTTTAAGGTCATGCCACAGCATCTCAAGCAGGTTTAATTGCAGACTTTGACTAGGCCACTCCAAAACCTTAATTTTGGTTTTCTTGAGCCATTCACACATGGGCTCGATGGAGTGTTTCGGATCATTGTCCTGCTGCATAACCCAAGAGTATTTGAGATCATGAACTGTTGGCCCGGACATTCTCCTTCAGGATTTTCTGGTAGAGCGCAGAATTCATGGTTCCATTAATTATGGCAAGTTGTCGAGGTCCTGAAGCTGCAAAGCAACTCCAAACCATTACACTACCACCAACATGTCTGACATGGGCATGAAGTTCTTTTTATGAAATGCTGTGTTAGTTTTACACCAGATGTAACAGGACACACACCTTCCAAAAAGTTCAACTTCTTTCTCATCAGCCCACAGAGTATTTGGCCAAACGTCTTGGGGATAATCGAAATGTTTTTTGGCAAATGTGCAGCCCTCTGGAACACTTCCAAGGAAGGACTGCAGAGGACTGCCATTCACAAAGCACAGCGTGCTTCGCACATGAACAGTAGGAGACCTGCGGTGAAGCCGCAAGGTTTCACTGCCAGATTTCCTTAGTCAAGATGGTGGCGCCAGCACCTGACAGCCGACTGAAGAATAGGCTCGGAGTGAGGACACCGCTGGATGCATGGACAGGTAAGTGCCCTACTATTAAAAGTCAGCAGTCACAGTATTTGTAGCTGCTGAATTTTAGCTTTTTTTTGGAAGGTGGTGGGGGCCGGAACTCTGCTTTAAGTGACTTCTTGATTCAACAGGTCTGGCAGTAATCACGCCTGGGTGAGGTGTGTGAAATTTGATTCTTTCCAAAAAAATGTGGTTAATCACAATTCATTCATGATTTAGCAAAGGGGGAAGGGGTGGGATTCCTTTTTCACATAGGGCCAGGCAGGTTTGGACAGCTTTTTTTCCTTAATAAATGAAATCATCATTTAAAAACTGCATTTTGTATTTACTTGGGTTATCTTTGTGTAATAATAAAATATGTTTGATGATCTGAAGCATTTAAGTATGACAAATATGCAAAGAAAGATCAGGAAGGGGGCAAATTATTTTTCACTTTTGTGTATTGTAACGCTACCCCCATGTCAGCAACTGATTTTACAAGATTCTTCCCCAGCAATGCAGTGGCCACCACTCACACAGGCAACAGTCCATTCACTCCAGCTCCAACAAACAGTAACACACTTGACTAGGTGACATTTCTTTGAATGGTCTTTTAACAGTCTGAGACAAAGAGGAAGCTATCTCAGAATGAGCAACAGCTGGCACCCTAGAGGTAGGATGGCAAACAGTCTCTAAATCTAGAGCTTGGGTCAATATCCAAAATATCCCAGGGCAGCTGTACACCTCCTAGCCAAGCACTCCTCTGAGTTCTCCAGCCAAATTCCTTAGCTCCAGAAAAAATTAATCCAGAGTGGAGGCGCTCTAATACAGGAGGTGTGTTACTGGCCAGATCACCAGTTGAAAACAGAGGAGAGGAGAAAAGCCGAAACAAAGAAAACGAATACAGCCACCACATCTAGTGATTGGTAAGCTGCAATATATTACATTTTTTATTTTGGTTTAATACCGCTTTTATTCCCTTGACATTGTTTCTACTGATTGAATTCACTACTGCTCACTCTATCAAAAACATTTTTACAAGTTTTGGACAGTTGGAAAAAGGGAGAACTTCTGTTTTTCATTGGAGGTCTGTGTCTGCACTGGGAAGACTTCCCCTCTCTTAGAGATTGCGTGGACAAAAAGTCTGGGCAACCTTTCCCAACTTTTTTACCCCAGAGGAACCCTTGAAATAAATATCAAGTCTCATGGAATCCCTACTAAAGTCAGTTTAATGGAAGTCAGTGGGAAGAATGTTCCTCACATTGGTGGTCAGTGAGAAGAATGCTCCTTACGTTGATGGTCACTGAGAAGAATGTTCCTTATGTTGGTAGTCAGTGGGAAGAATGTTCATTACATTGATTGTCAATGGGAAGAATATATCTTACATTGGTGGTCAGTGGGAAGAATGTCCCTTACATTGGTGATCAGTGGGGAGACTGCACCTTACATTGGTGATCAGTGGGGAGACTGCACCTTACATTGGTGATCAGTGGGGAGAATGCACCTTACATTGGTGGTCAATGAGAAGAATGTTCATTACGTTGATGGTCAATGGGAAGAATGCCCCTTACATTGGTGGTCAGTCGGAAGAATGTCCCTTACATTGGTGATCAGTGGGAAGAATGTCCCTTACATTGGTGATCAGTGGGGAGACTGCACCTTACATTGGTGATCAGTGGGTAGAATGCACCTTACATTGGTGGTCAATAAGAAGAATGTTCATTACGTTGTTGGTCAATGGGAAGAATACTTTTTATATTGGTGATCTGTGAGAAGAATTCCCCTTACATTGGTGGTCAGTTGGAAAAATGCCCATTACATTGGATGCACATGGCACTGGCCCTGGAACTCTTCACTCTTCAGGTACCATCATCTTAGAAGTCAGTCCTCAAGAAAACCCTAGCAACTTCTGGAGGAATCGTTAGGGTTTCAAAGAACCCTGGTTGATAATGGCTGGTTTAAGGTACAGTAAGTCCCCCGAACGGGTTTGTTCTGGGAGATCATTCATAAATCGGATTTCTTTGTAAGTCCAATAAAGTGAGTCTTATACACCTTTGACACAAACATACAATGTAAAGCATAAAAAAAAAACACATGCAAGAATACTGTAAATAAACTATTTTTACTTTAACAGTTACCTTAAAATGGTGGTTCAGTACAGTACTGTACAGTATGACAACTGGCATATAGTGGAAGAGGGTTACAAACTTCGAGGAGGGAGGGTAGGAGATGGTGGAGCTGAAGGATCATCAGCAATAAGAGATGGAGGGCAAAATGGAATTTGGCCCACACCTGATGTTGACAGAGCTGAAGGATCATCAGCAATAGGAGATGGAGGGCAAGATGAAATTTGGCCCACACCTAATGTTGTTGGAGCTGAAGGATCATCAGCAATAGGGAGATGGAGGGAAAGATGGAATTTGGCCCATACCCGATGTTGTTGGAGTTTAAGGATCATCAGCAATAGGAGATGGAGGGCAAGATGGAATTTCACTCACACTTGATGTTGATGACACAGGTTTTTTGATGGATTCAATTTTGTCTATCCTCTGGAAAAAATGATCCAGTGATGTCTGAGTAGTAGCTCCTTTTTTTCTTATCATAGATGAGTCTGTAGGACTGGAAGGCATTCTGAACGGCTGCTGCAACCTTTGGGTATCGTTCTACGTTGGGGTCCTGTGCCTCAAAAACTAACAGTGCCTCTTCAAGTAAAGAAAATCCTCTTGCCATTTCCTGTGTTGTGAATCTCTTTGGTTCTTCAGTTACATCTTCCTCTTGGCTCTCTTCGTCTTTTCTCTGGGCCTCTAATTCCATCAGGTCCTCATTAGTAAGCTCCTTATGTTGCACAGCAAGGAGTTCAATGAAGTCGTCTCTCTTGCAGATCTAGCTCCAGCTTCGTGCTAAGGGTCACCAAGTTGTTGAAGACCTCTCAAGTCCATGAACTTAATGAACAAACTGCGGGCAAAGGTTCTTCCTAACCCCATTAATGGTGACAGCAAAAACCTTACGCCAAGCAAAGTTGATTTTTTTTATGGCCTTGTAGATGTTATAATCCTTCCAAAATTGTCGCAAGGTTGTTCCTGTTTCATCAATAGCCTTCACTGCCTGACAAAGTGTGACTTAAATAATATTTCTTGAAAGTCGCAATAACTCCTTGGTCCATAGGTTGGATGTGCGCCATTGTATTCTATGACAGATGCACTACTTAGACGTTGGGGTGAAAGTCATCCATGAATTGGGGGTGACCTGGTGCATTGTCAAGCAGCAAAAAAATGTTGAATGAGATATCTTTCTCCAAACAATATTTCTCTATCTCTGGGACAAAGTGGTAGAAAAACCAGTCCTGGAAAATGGCCTGTGTAACCCAGGATTTGGAGTTACTCTTCCACACAACAGGTGGGAATCCTTGGCTATGTTTTTGAGGGCTCTTGGGTTCTCTGAATGGTAAACTAAGAGAGGCTTTAGCTTCATATCACCGGAAGCATTGCCACCGAACAACAGAGTAAGTCTGTCCTTTGCTGCTTTGAAGCCTCGCATCATCTTTTCCTCTTTACTGATGTAACTTCGTTCTGGCATCCTCTTCCAATAGAGTCCTGTCTCATCGACGTTAAAAACCTGTTGGGGTAAATAAGCACCTTCGTCAATAATTTCTCTAAGCGTTGCTGGAAATTCTTGGGCAGTTATGGTATCTGCACTCGCAGCCTCACCACTTAATTTTATGTTGTGAAGGTTGTCTCTAACCTTGTACCTGTTAAACCATCCATGGCTGGCAGTAAAAGATGCACACTGTTCACCCCTTTTTTTCTTCAAGTCTTCAAACAGACTTTTAGCTTTTTCTTGCATAAGCATTAAGCTGAGTGGGACTCAACGCTGATGCTGATCCTGCATCCACACACTGAGAAGTTTCTCCATCTCCTCTATCACTTTACCATGCTTTTTGGATATTATTGTTGACTTCATAGGCACAGCAGACTTCACATGTTCCATGATCTTGGCCTTTGTTCTTTAGAATTGTGCCAATGGTTGAACGATTCATGTTATAAGAACGAGCGATGTCTACAATCTTTTCGCCTTGGTCCAATTTTTTTTATTATTATTATTATACAGGATTTATATAGCGCCAACAGTTTGCTCAGCACTGTACATTATAATGGGAGACAGTACACGAGACAGTACAATTCAATACACGAGGGGTTCAAGGGCCCTGCTCCTTGGAGCTTACAATCTAGGAGGGAGGGGATAGTGGTACATGAGGAAATAGCTGTGGGGGATGGAGTGGTAGGAAGAGTGGAGGAGATCGGTAATTAGCTGAGGGCGGGGTAGGCTTCCCTGAAGAGGTAGGTTTTCAGAGTGCGCCTAAAGGTGAGGAGAGTAGGTGATAGTCTGATGGATTGGGGTAGGGAGTTCCAGAGGATGGGGAAAGCCCTGGAGAAGTCCTGGAGACAGGCATGGGAGGAGGAGACCAGGGAACTAGAGAGCAGGAGGTCTTGTGAGGAGCGGAGAGTACGTTTTGGGTGGTATTTGGATACCAGATCAGTGATGTAGTTTTGGGCAGTATTATGAACAGCTTTGTACGTCAATGTTAGCATTTTGAATTTTTTATCCGTTGGGCAATCGGAAGCCAGTGGAGGGATTGTCAGAGGGGGGTGGTGGATACGGAGCGGTTAGTAAGGTGGATGAGTCTGGTCGCAGCATTCAAGATAGACTTAAGCGGGGATAGCCTGTAAACCGATGAGGAGGGAGTTACAGTAGTCGAGACATGATATAATGAGGGAGTGAATAAGTTGCTTAGTGGTTTCCGGGGTTAGGAACGGACGTATTTTGGAGATGTTGCGGAGGTGAAGTCTACATGAGTTTGTCAGTGATTGGACCTGGGGCTGGAAGGACAGATTGGAGTCTAGGATGACACCTAGTACTCTGGCTTGCGGGGTGGGACTGATGGTGGTATTGTTGGTCTTGATGGAGAAGTCGGGGGGGGGGGGGGAAACTTGGAAAGATTTAGTTTGAGGAAGTGGAATGACATCCAATCCGAAATGTCGTTCAGTAGGCTTGTGATACGGGCGGAGACTGAGGGGGTGAGGTGAGGGTGAGGTGAGATAGATTTGCGTGTCGTCGGTATAGAGGTGGTAGTTGAAGCCATGAGAGTGTATCAATTGGCTAAGGGAGGAGGTGTAGATGGAGAAGAGAAGGGGCCCGAGGACAGAACCTTGAGGGACCCCAACAGAGAGGGGGAGTGAAGAGGAGGTGGCAGCGTTATAGGTAACACTGAAGGAGCTCTGTGATAGATAGGAAGAGAGCCAGGAGAGAGCGGAGTCTCTGAGGCCAAGAGAGTGTAGTTTTTTTTTTTTTTTCAATTTCTCAATTATTTTTACTTTTGCTTCCATGGTTCCATGGTGCTTTGCACTTCTTAGCAGTCCCCTCCACGTCACCAATGCTTTTGGTCTTGCTTCCGGACATCCTGAGCTCTGTACAATACACTATCGCACTGCACATTAAGCATACAGCAGCACAACTGTGATAATGTGCAGCTGTGACAACGTCCGGCAGACACGTGAGCTACTTCCGAGATTTGTTCGCATCTACGAATGTTCGTAATGCAAGGTCCATTTGTATCTGTGAAAGTTGCAACTTGAATGTTCGTAAGTCGGGGACTTACTGTATTGCTATATTAATATAGAACAAATCGTCTCTTAAAACTTTTAATACAGGTACAGTATGTCACTGACCTTTCCAAAGCTTGTTGATTCAGAAAATAAATACCTGGAGATCCTGCCAGTCTACAGCCCTCCTCTCACAGGGTGACAACTGTTGGTTATGTGTTAGAGAAGACACTGGTAGCTTGTGATGAGGCAGAACTCTGTTTTACTTGTGTGGCTTAAATTGCAAACATACAGAACACATTTCAGCAGACATCTTGGTTTTGAAGAGAGGAAAAAAAGAAGAAAGAGAGAGAACCAACAAGTTTTACACATATGCACAACTAGTAACTTTAGTGTACAGTGCCATCTACTGGTCAAGTGATATTAACACACAATACTATATAGTACATGCTGTTGTATCTCCAACAACAACACTATTTGGGCTTCATCTTATGGGGCACCTCAGTCAGGCTTCTCACTATATGCCATATTGTCACGTACTACATTTCATTAGAACTTCATGAGTTTCTTTGTACTGACCGGTACGGATTGTTTCCCACCAAACACCGAGTTCTTATCCATGACTTTGCTGTCAGCGTGTATACTTATACTCTTCCTGCTCCCTATCATGCTGCGGTTGATCCTGCTCTGCGTGACGAAACTGGACATACTGATGATTTTCTTGACGTGTGAAGCCATTTTAGGCCTGCAAAAAAAACAAAAAAACACACAATTTTATTAATAAATTCACCTGTCTATGAAGTTGGGTTTATGATCGTCTGACACTCTTTATGGGCTTTAAGGCCCTATTCACACTTTAGCAATTTGTAGCGCGAAGCTCCAAAACGCTGGAGGAGAAAAAAAATCAATTACCCTTTCTTGAGGTGGCTCACATCTCTACTACAAGTCTCCTGAAGCTCAGAAAAGTTCTGTAGCGTATTTTGTAATTCGAATCGAGCAGATTGGTGTGTTTTTTTAAGCTTTTTTTTGTTCCAAAGAAATGTATGGAAATGCTTGTATCTAGCATTTTAGCGCATTTTGTGTGTTTTTGAGCTTTTTCTGCTCAAATGCATTAATTAAATAAAAATAAATGTTAATAATAAATAAAATACATCATAATCATCAATCATAAATAAATAATAACAAAAATTAATAAAATAACCCTAACCCAAATATTAACCCCTAATCCTAATTTTAATTCCTAACTCCTAATCCTAACGCCAATATTAATCCTTAACCCCTAATCCTAGCCCTAACTCGAATCTTAATCCTCAATCCTAACCCCTAACTCTAATATTAATCCCTAACCAGGGGCAGACTGACAACTCATGGGGCCCCCGGGCAATAGGGGATCATGGGGCCCCTATGTCCTTGCCAAAACTCAAAAAAGCCTATGAAAAAGGTACCAGGGGCATCTCATGGGGCCCCCTACTGTCCCCGGGCCCTTCCAAATGGTCAATCCACCCCTATCTCTAACCCTAACCTAAGTAACTAAATAAATAATAGATAAATAAATAAATTAACCCCTAACCTTTATTCCTTAACCCCTTACAAAAAAAAAGTAAAAAAAAAACCAATAATAACAAATACAAAAATAAATAAAAAGGACAGATGAAACAGATGACATTTTTTTCTACTGGCTAATAAAAAAATGCCAAAGCTCAAAAATGCTTTAAGAACACTGTACAAAAACGCACAAACAAGTGCCTAAAAAAAAAACGCTCAAAAACGTGACGCTCAGGTGAGAATGCAGCCTTACAGACAGCTGGTAAGGCCTCATTCACAGAGGTATACTTAAAGCAGAACTAAACCCTTCTATCGTTTTCAGCCAAGGCAGCTGCCATGTTTGATCTGCAATGGTGCTGCACATGTGATTCGTTATGACCCCAGCCATTTGATGGATTGACAATTTGGTTGAGCGCAGAAGCAAATGTGATAGTTATGCCCCCCATACACATATAGAATATCGGCCGAAAATTCTAGTTTTTGAAAAGATCGTTCGACATTTGTGCCATTAGTGGACTCAACTTTACAGCCAATTTTGAAAGTAGGCCCGGATAATGTCGGTGGATCTGAAGCGAAAACTTTCATCGTTTCAACCAAAGTGTATACGTTTATGTGTTAATCGAAATGAAAAATCCCCTGTCTAGTATTTCCCATGTCATTTGGTGAACCAGAAGAAGAATCTTTGAACGAATTTTATTCTATGTGTTTAGTGGACAAGTCATTGTTGAGCAGGGTGGATAAAAATCAATGATTTTTTTAAAAAAATCAAAACAAATCGGATTTTTTTGATTTAAATCCGATTTTTTTTTTAATTTAAATTGGATTTTTTAAAATAAAATGCTTTTTGAGGAAAATATATTACCATCCAAAGGTCATTCCATCCTGAAATAAAGATTAGTTTTTTTAATTATGTAGAATAAGGCTGTATATGTTTCATTTTTTTGGTAAATAAATTCCATGAATCCATTCACAATGTCATGCTCTTCCAGAGGTGTTTGTAAGATTATTGGGCAGTTTCTCTGCCTACAAGATATTATCACAGATGTTGGTTTACTTTTGCAGTTCTCAAAACTGAATTGGACTCAGCGGAGATCACATGCCTCTTCTTCACAGCAAAAATGTTATAACATGAACAGAGTTAAGAAAAAGACCTTCATCCTAACTTCTACAAACCTATGAATACAGAATCAACCCCTTCACTGCTAAGTTTCAAGAAGTTCAGTGAATAGAATAGAAACAATATTTTTCTGATTGTTTGGAGTGGAATAGATCTGCACAAGAAGAAAGTGAAACTAAGTGTGAGGAGGAAGGGGCTGACAGTCTAAGTTTCTTAAAATATATATATTTTGTTTAGCCAAATTAGTTAACAAACATGGATGTTTGTTTAACCACTTGAGCTCCTGAGGATTTACCCCCCTTGATGACCAGGCCTCTTTTTGCTACTCGGCGCTGCATTAATTCAGCTGATAATTACGCGGTCATGCAATGCTCCACCCAAACGAAATTTACGTCCTTTTTTCACACAAATAGAGCTTTCTTTCGATGTAATTTGATCACCTGTGTGCTTTTTATTTTTCACGCTATAAACAAAAAAACGCCAACAATTTTGAAGAAAAACAATATTTTTTATTTTCAGCTATAAAAAAATATATAGTAAACTCAAAGCTGGTTATACATTTAGGCCAAAATGTATTCTGCTCCATGTTTTTGGTAAAAAAAAATCCCAATAAGTGTATATTGATTGCTTTGTGTGGAAGTTATAGCGTCTACAAACTATGGTATAAATACTGCAATTTACGCCATTTTTTTGCTATACAGCGCTGCGCTAGTTTAACGGACAATTGCGCGGTCATGCAATATGGTACATAAATTAAATTTACATCCTTTTTTTCCCCACAAATTGAGCTTTCTTTCGGTGGTATTTGATCGCCTGTGCGGTTTTTATTTTTTGCGCTATAAAAAAAAAAAAGGCTGACAATTTTGAGGAAAAAAAAAAACAATATTTTGGACTTTTTGCTATAAAACATGTCCAGTAAAAAAAAAAAATGCAAAAATCAAATTTAGTCATAAATTTCTGCCAAAATGCATTCTGCGACATGTCTTTGCTAAAAAAAAAAACCCAATACGTGTAAATTAATTGGTTTTACGTAAAAGTTATAGCGTTTACAAATGGCGGGAAAGATACTGGGATTTTTAGGGTTTTCTTTATACTAATAATGGCGGCGATCAGCGAATTATGGCGCGATCAGGGACTTATGGCAGTGACCAGCGACTTATGGCGGGACTGCGGTGGACATTCTGACATTGGGGGGTACTGACTTGGGGTCACTGACATCCCCAAAAACACTAATACAGTGATCAGTGCAAAAAAAAAAAAAACTGACACTGTACTAATGGCACTGGGGAGGAAGGGGTTAACTTTATTTAGCAGGGAAGGGTTATAGGAGTGAGGGGAGTGTTTTACTAGGGGGCGGGGGGGTGTGTACTGGGCGGGACAAGGCTGATCGAGAAAGTGAAACTATTCTTTCTTGATCAGCTCATCCTCGAGCTGACAGAGAGGTGACAGACAGCACAGCTACTGCAGCTGTGCTCTCTGTCACCGTTTACCGCCGATCGCCGGGACATAGCCGCTAATGAGCGGCTGTGACCCGGCAACTGACATCTGCGGCGGTGATCCACAGGACAAATAGGGCGGCAGCGCGCCCCCTATTTGTTTACAAAACACACGTTTTAAAACGTGGTTTTGCCTGTGAGTGCCGCCCTGCCACCGTATATGGGTAGACAGGGTGGGGGCTGACCGGACATGCTGTGGTAGGAGTTCCAGAGGATGGGAGAGGCTCTGGAGAAGTCCTGGAGGCGAGCGTGGGAGGAGGTGATGAGGGAGCTAGAGAGGAGGATATCAGACTGGGCGATTTGGGCGGTATCTGTGGATGAGGTTGGTGATGTAGCTAGGGGCAGTGTTGTGGATGGCTTTGTAAGCTGTGGTAAGTATTTTGAGTTTTATACTTTGGGTTAGTGGAAGCCAGTGGAGGGATTGGCAGAGAGGGGCAGCAGTCGCTGATCGGTTGGTAAGGTGTATGAGTCTAGCAACAGCATTAATAATAGACTGAAGGGGGGATAGCCTGTGTAATGGTAGACCAGTGAGGAGGGAGTTGCAGTAATCGAGGCGGGATATAACCAAGGCGTGAATAAGTTGTTTTGTGGTGTCATTAGTCAGGAAGAGGCAAATTTTGGAAATGTTCTGGAGGTTGAGGTGGCAGGATTTAGCCAGTGAGTGGATGTGGGGCCCAAAGGAGAGGTCAGAGTCTAGGATTACGCCTAGCACCCTGGCATGAGGGGAAGGACCAATGGTAGTGCTGTTGATCTTAATGGTAAAGTCATGAGTGGGGGATCGGGGAGGAGGAAATATTACAAGCTCAGTTTTTGAAAGATTGAGTTTAAGGTATGTAAGAAGTAATCTCTGAGTGAGTGTGAAAGAGGACCTAGTTGATGAAGAGTGTGATGAGGCTGAAGCATTATGGGTGGAACTGCACATGGGAATGCGTACTACAAAGGTAATCATTGGAGTTTGTTATAGGCCTCCCAGTGTTGAGGTCCTCTCATTGCACAGGTCAAAAGGACTGCAAGGGCTGGGACAGTGATAATAATGGGGGATTTTAACTACTCAGAAAAAGTAATGGTACTGTACCACTACTCAGTAATGGTACTGTAGAAACAGTTAAAAGGCAAAAGTGTATAAACCTACTACAGGACAATTTTATAGTGCAGTCCATAGAGGCCCCAGCTAGGAATTATGACCTGCTGGACCTGGTAATCTCAAACCATGCAGAGCATATTATGAGTGTCCATATAAAAGAACATCTGGGTAGCAGTGTCCATAACATGATTTAATTTATTGTTAGCTGTAAAGAACAAGCACATACGGGAAAAATAAAAACGCTCAACTTTAAGAGAGCTAACTTTTCCAAGGCTGAGAGCTGCTCTCCAAGACTTAGACTGGGAGGGGAAGATTGGCATTGATGAACACAACACAGAAATGGGAATTCTTCAAAAAGACTGTATGTGAACACACTGCAAAATATATTCCCATGGGCAACAAGTTTAAAAGGCTAAAAATCAAACCTATGTGGCTTACGGCCAAAGTTAAAAAAAGCTATAGATAATAAGAAAAAAGAGCTTTTATTAAATATAAAAATGAAAGAAC